GCATGGTTTGGACTGTATACAGTGATTAGTGATTTTATCAGATTATAAGTTATAAACTATAAATTCAGATTTAAAAATTCCTGTAAACCTGTGACCTCCCCATCCCCACAATGCCCCGACACCACTTTACTGGTTTTTTATTACTCAAAATAACCTTTGATTCCTTGACTTTAATAAGTATTCCGTTTAAAATTAAAAATATTAATGCCCTATTAAAATTCAATAATCATTTATCATAATTGTTACTTTCAACAATAATTGCAGCATCCAAATATTAGTTAAATTATAGTTTTGCTGAAAAGTTAGTGTTAGAATGTTTTGTTATAGGAAATCGGCTTATATAAACATTACTGTTAGCCCAATTTTTATAAAAGGTCTTTAGAGTTGGTTAATAAAACAGAAAATATTTCCAAATCTGTTTCAAAAACTATAACCAGAATACAACAATGTGCATCTATATGTAGTCTTAGGTGAAAATAATACTTAATATTGTGAGTTGCGATACTTTTACATCTGTTTAACATAAAAAACTAAATTTGAATTACCTCATTCAGGTACGCAATATCTCCGGCAATTATCTCCGCATACTTTTCTGCTGAGACTGGGGCAATTGGACGACCTGTGTAAAGTTTTGAATTAGTTCCGAAGTACAGTTAAAACCATTTTGACGAATAAACCAAGTCGTGTACTATTCGTTGAGTACGAGTGAAAATTTTCATTTTGATATTTTAAATTGTATTAGGTTGATATTAAAATACATATGGAATAAAAAAAAAAGATTTTATTTTAAAAAATGATAAAATGTACTACTTACCGTAGGAATCAGTCGTTGGTTCTTCACCTATTTGTCGTTTAGCGATTCGAAATTTCCTATTACATATTTCCTCTACCTAAAATGATAACGGTTTTTTTTTAAATTTTAACACTAATTTTATGATAATTTTAAGTTTTAAGAGTTATTAGATAGTATTACTAGTTAATAACTTTTAAGCCAACTAATAGTGTATATATTTATTAATCTACAGCCAGTGTTGCTAGTTTTAAGTGTTTATTATTTAAAAATGATCTCTAAAATAGTAAAATGTATTGGCTGCACAAATAAAAGATACATCTGAAAGTTTTATAACACATATTGACTTAGCGCATAAAATATATTAGAAATTTATATAATTTCGTTTAAAATGATAAACTATTTATTACCTATTTCAAAAACTATTTTAATAAAACAAATTTTTTATTATTTAAACCTTTGGATTCTCGTCTTAAATATTAATTTTGTTTAAAATTTTAATTATTATGGCATTTTTTAAATGTAATAATTATGATTGATAATATAAAAACAAATTTTTTTTAAATTTTTTATTTGTTTTAATATTTATAAAATTGTATTCATTTTAATAGTTTATCTATAAGTCGATAATTATGTTTAACAATAATCTGTGCATCCAAATAATACTTAGGTTATAGGATTTTTGAAAAGTTAATATTAAAATTTCTTTATAGAAAACCAGCATTAAAAAATCATAACCGTCAACCGTAAGTTCGTCAAAAATTGGTATTAAACAGAAAATATTTCAGAACCCTTAACCAGAAACCAAAAATGTGCATCGACAAGTAGTACTGTGTTAAAACAACATATTATATGAAATGCGCTTCCTTTACGCCTGTTTAAAATTAAATACTATATAATATATGTGTTACCATTTTGAGGGACGTAATACTACCTTCCTTAAAACAAAAATATTAAACACAAAATTAAAATTTGTTTTAAACCATTTAAATTTAAAACATATACTTTATATATTATTTTTAAAAAATGTTTTCAAATAAAATGTAGTATTATGTGAGTTGCAGCATTTTTCATTTGTTCATTATAAAATTAAAAATATACATTACGTTTAGCAGTTGCTTAGAGTACTCCGTCTTAAAAAAAAAGTATTTAACATGAAATTAATACTTAATTAAATCTATAATAACTTTTAACATATACATTATTTTTTATTAATTATTAAAAATGTTTTCAACTAAAAATATGTAAAAGTAAATGGTTACTCTTTTTCATATGAGTTTGTATAGTATATTTTAAAAAATAACTTAAATATCCTTTATCTCGTGCCTCATTGTGAGTGTAAAAACTATTTTTTCAAAATGCAAACTATTTAACATTACACAAAAACTGGTTTTGCATGTGTAATTTTGTTTAGACGATCTAATGTAAGACTCATTTTCTCAGAAAATAACGATATTTCTTTTATAATTATAGGTAGTGTTTTTAATTCCATTAATAATATGTAAACAAAATTTTTTAAAAAAATTTAGAATTATTATGTTCGTTTGCTACATATTCGTTAGGTTAGGGACATATTCGTTTTAACTGTAACACCAATACGATAATAATGCTAAAAAAAACACTTGAAGTTTATAAAATACATATATTCCACATTTGCCACAATAAATTTGTCATTCAGTCACAAATTTGTAAGATCCAACCCCCCCCCCCCACCACGTGTTTTTTTGGTAGTTACTTTTGAAACTAAAATGACAGCAGGTGAAGTGCGATTGCAAAGCGTGAGCAGATACAAATAATACTACACTTCTTCCTATTCCTACTGCCCTAAATTTGAAACTTAAAAATAACTTTTATATTTGATAATAGTTATCCAAAACTGGTTATCGACCAGTCAAAATGTTAAGTACATTGTTCTCAAAATAAAAAGTTAATGCTATGTATGCGTTACCGTTTAATTAAATTAAATTATTAGCGAAGCCAAGCGAAGCCAAGCGACGTATTAAGGAGCCCGCGATAAAAAATCACTCTATAGGTAATTTTTTTCGAATAATATTCTGATTCGAAAACATCAAACAATATGTGTATCGTTGTTAACTAAGGTTTTTTTTTTTTTATCTCATATTGAAACTTATAACTAAAACAGAAAATACCGTTTACGTACATTGTATGTTGTTTAACAAGTGTTATTTAAGCTATGCAGAAACAGTTTTAATAAAATATGACGCAAAACACAATTTTATTTGTAAAACAACAAAATGATACACGTTTTTTTAAAAATAAATACTCATGTCAATTGGAACTGAATTTCATATTCTTACAATTTATTGTGGTTTTATATCGATATTAGAGCTTTTGTTGTCTTAATCATATTTTATTAAAAAACAAAAAAATAATTATTTTTTTAATGTTGTATAGGTGTTTAGTACTTATATAATAGTCCTCATACAACATTTTAATTACCTAAATCCAAAATAGCGATACTTTTACATCTGTTTAAGATAAAATATTAAATATGAATTACCTCTTCCGCGTACACTTCTTTTATCGCTTCCTTAAAAACAAAGTATTATAACTAAAATTAACACTTGTGTTAAATCCGTTTTAGTTTTTAACACATACAAATTTTTGAAGTTATAATTATGGCTACATTTTTTAATACGTGTTTTATTAACACATTTTAAAAATTAACTTAAATATCGCTTACCATCATCTCCTCTGTGAGTGTAGAAACTTTTAGTGTAAAAAAACAAATTATTAAATATAACGCAAAAGCTTGTTTTGCAAGCATAATTATTATTTTTTAATTATTTAATAGTTTTTAAAAAGCCTTAAAATGATTTAACTAAAATATAGTAAATAAAGATAAATTGTTTTAACTACAATTTAAACGAGTTTTAAAAAGAAATAACGTGTATCTATGAAGTAAAGCCAGAGTCTACAAAATATGCCTATGGCAAACCAAAATAAAATATGTTTTACCAAACCTAACAGTTTTGCTACGTAAATGAACCAAGTAGATATATCAAATTATGTCACAGTTGTACTTAGTTGTTGTTGTAAAATGTTTACTTATTTTAAGTACATATTTTAAATATCTACACTATTATACATATTTTTAGCATTTACTAAAACCTATAAATAACAAAATGAAACCTATAAATCCCATTATTAATATAACTACCCCTTACATTAGGATTAAATATTTTTAGTATAAGATTGTATTTAAGCATTGTGTCAAAATAACATTATTATTTCCCCACCAACGGCTTGTAGGCTCTTAATGCAGTGCCCTCATATTACATATACTCATTATTATTTACTTTTTTGAAAATTGTTTTAGTAGGAAACAGGCTTAAATATGAATATTTACTGTCCGTCTTAAATCAATAAAAGGTCTTTAAAATTTGTTAAAAACTAAAAATATTTTAAATCGGTTTCAAAAACTATAACCAAAAGCCAATCATTTTTTGAGTACTATTGCGGTTTTTCATTTTGATATTTTTATTTGTATTAGGTACCACATATTAATATAAATATGATATAAAACACAGTTTTTTGAAATTAGTGTGTTAACCTATTATTTATCTTGAAAATCAGTCATTGGGTGTTAACCTGTTAAGCTTTCACGGATTCGGTCTGACTTCATAACATTTGCCTCTTTTTAAAGTGATGTTATAAAATGTACAAGTATTTAAATAAAAACATTTTTCTTATGACATGTTTTATGTCTATATAAGAATAATTAGCCAACTAATTGTGTAAATGCGGTCTGATCATTTTATAAAACTCCAGCGAATCTAACATTTGTGTATGGAAATGACTGTTTGTCATTTTATACAAGACATGAAAAGAAAATTAGTAGTTGAAAATGTTTAGATGAGGAGTGACCAAATTTGATAGAATTAATATGTAAAATTGTTACTTGAAAAGTATAATTGCGTACAGCACTCGGTGGTGTCAATAAAACAATGCCTAATACCATTCCCCCTAAAAAATGTATATTTGTATATCAGCGCAAACATTAGCAGGATATTTATTAAGACAAATCACATCAATAAAAAAACCTTGCTACTATTATACTGCAGAATGTAATTAATAAAATTAAATTAAAATACAATCTATACAGATAATGAGAAAATAAATTATTAAAATATATATTTTTAAATAAAACATTCCCTGTTTACGAGTTGTAATTAATTATTATAATTTATTATTCAGTAGATTGAATCGCGTGATCATTGATACTTGCGGTTGAATCGTGTTCGAAGCAGTCGTTTATTTTTTCTTTACATTTTTTCCTGGTCTCATCCAACGCCTTTACTTGTTTTTCCATCGAATTAACTTCAATTATGGGCTGCATGATATCCAACATGTCCAATTCCATCAAATTCAAAACGCCTTGGACGAAAATAGAACATGTGTTTTTTTTAAAAATATTTTACATTTTATATATTATGTATTTTTCATTATTAGATAATATTTAGAATTTTTTTTTGTGTTCATTTTTTTTATACTTCAAGCCATACCCTTTTATTATTACAGTATATCCAATTATTTAATTTTTATTATTTATATTTCATTTTTTTATTGATCATAAAATTGGTGTGGTGGTTATAAGGGAATCGAAAATATGGAAAAGCAATTTTTCCAAGAAAAAAAAAACATTTTTTTGTAGCAAAAAAATAGCAAATTTGTACTTGCTTAAAATATTTTATTTTTTTAATAAACAACATACCTATTAATTCATCTTGCACTATTAACATTTCGTTCAAAAACGCTTGTACGCTAACGACATTGATGAGCAGTTTATGGGGAAAAGTTTCTTCAAGCAAATAATCGTCACTTGACTAGCAATAACAGAAACAACACTCATTATTATTACATATTTTTTGTCTGTTGAAGCATAACCTAGACGATGATTTTTACTTACTTCATTTGAATGCTTTGAATTGTTCTCAATTTTGGCGTTCGAGTTTGTTTCCATTTCGAAAAAAAACAACAGAACTACTTTACTGACGTTTAAATCGAATTTATTTTAAGAAACTATGAAGGTATTAAAGAATGTAATTTTTTTTTTTTTGTAAATGACTGATTTGTGAAAATCAAATTAAATGGTGTCTTGCGATTTTCTTAGCTGCGTTCTCACGTTAAACCGCGGTCGACCGGTAATCACTATTGGCGGTAACCGTGGTTAGGTGATGGTAACTAAAAATGTCACATAGTCGAACATACCTATAGCCAATAAAAGTCACAGATATATAATATAAGGACCAGATTGCTAACTAGATATAAGAATAATTGAAGTCGACGTCACGTCGGCCATTTTTGAGGGATTTATACGTGTATAAATGTATATATATATATCTGTGATTCTGTTTTATCAACTTAACTTGTAATTGTTATAAGCAGTGAAAACAGTTATAAACGTGTGATAAGGTTCTATTTCCCACAAAGATGGCGGAAAATAATAACTTCAATTATCTCTATTGGCGCCGCGTACACGTCTTAGCAATCTAGTTTATTATAATATACATCTGTGCTTCAAGTTAAATACCAATTACCAGAACAGACATACTAGTGATTTATTTGAGAGAAGGAGTGATTAATTTAATTATTTAAAACGTTGCGTGGCATAAAAATCGAGTCAAAAGTAACTTTTTACATTTATACTCATTTTAAATAAATACAAACAAATAATTTTAACACAGTTTATTTACAACAAATACAATGGTATAATAATAACAATTGTTTTAAACAAATTATTTACTACATAGTAATGTACATGAGAAAATAGGGGATTACTGTGCTATTTTCTCCGTCAAATTTATAGTTGATGGTAGTTTTAGATAATTTTTAAGTAGATGTGGCGTTGTGAATCAAATATTTATTACAAAATTCAATAAAATTATAGAATGTTATCAAATATTTTATAGAAATTCATATAATCAACAGCTATTTTAAAAAAATCAACAATTTTTAACAAAGTCAGAACTAGGGCTGGATTTAAACTTTAAGTGGCCCAGGGCAAAGAAGATTTTGGAGCCCCTGGTTGGTCCATAATACAAATTGCATACTTACCGTGTGTAAAATATATTTTTAGTTTTAATTACAAATAAATATTTATGATACATAAATTTATCTATTCATACAGTAATGTATTACCTATAAATGTAGTTATACTTATATATTTTATATAAATGTTATCCAATATGATTTTTCTCTCTGCATTTGTTTTTTAAGCTCAGTATTAGTATACCTTCGGTAGTTACGTCCCAGAATTTCTGATCAAATTCCAAACGCGATATATGCATTTAGATAATTTTTCAAGTATCATGTCTTATAATATGTTATTCAATTATGTATAATATAATCAGATTTCGAATTGTGTGTATTGATTGACATGATAGCAAAACCAAAATGTTAACATATTCGGTACAAGTATAAACAAACATTTTTTTTTATGTATTTAATATGGTTTACCATTTTCAGACTACAGCTTTGCAATGCATCGTTTATTTGTAATTGATTTTTATCACATAGAGTTAAAACAATTCCTAAGATACGTGTGATGTGGCCTGCCCATAATTCCAAATGAAAATCGAGGGTCGCGTTAAGGTACAAGGCTTACTGCTAAATTTTAATTGTTATAATAAAACCAGGTATGTATCTAGAAAACGTGGTATTGGTATATTAAATATAGGTACACATTTATTTATAGAAAAGAAAATCATTTAAAACGACAACTGTTTGGAAAATTATGTTTTATAATAAAACATTTTGGATTTAATTTCGCCTTTAGTTAAAATTTAAATTGGGGAAATAAAAAACTTCAACATTAATTACATTAAAATAATACTATTCTGGCGATAAAATATGAACTTACAGACTAGAAGTAATTTAGTCGGGCATTTAAAACTAAGCTATCAGACTAGTGAAAAGGTTTGCATTTCGAAAAAAATGAGTACCTACTAAACCAAGTTTTAGTTCATAACCTTAAAAGTAAGTCCAGTTCAAAAAAGATGTCTCACAAAGTACACTTGTTCTTAATTTTGTTGATGCATTGTAGATACATTTTATAAGGTACATTACAATTTTGATGAAATTAGGTACCTAGTCATTAAAAAAGTCAGTAAAATGTTATTTCAAAATGTCATGAGAATTTTTTTTAGCACACAAGTGAGCTACAACATTTATCACGGGTGTGTTTTAAAAAACAATTTTCTATGAGTTTGTAAAAGCGTCAAGTTGATTTTGGACTTTATTGTTTGTCAATCGTTGAAGGAATCATATTTTCTTACAATATTGTGGTTAAATTGGTTGAACGTGAATATTTTTTATTATAGGTATAAATTTATTATTTATATATTTGCGCATTTTGACAGTGCTTTTATTTTTTTTGAGTTTATAACCTTCCTAGTAGGAAACAACAGTTACTACATCAAGCCTTAATTCGTACTAACCATTTCCCTACTTTAAGACAAAAGCGTTTTAATTATTTTGAACTCCGAATGAACGTTTAACTAATACAGTTTTCCACTATACGATAACGACCTCTAAACCTTATATAGTATTGTATACAGTAGGTACAGCGACCGTTCCGGCTATTATACTGTTTATAATTGGTATTTATTTGATTCTTAGAGCGGAATGCCAACGATAGTAGACTTTGGAGGACACGGTGTTGACTTAGTCGTTTATTCAGAGCATTATTAAATCGCATAATAATATTGTACATAAAAAAAAACAATTAACTCTCTGTCAGAACACATGGTTAAAAAAATAAATAATTTTTCCTTACTGAACTTGAAAAATTTAATTTTTTTATATTTTTGGCGGGTCTTATAAACGTTCATCAATGGTTTAATGAATAGATAAATGTTTAAACATAATTTAAAGTCCTGTGGTCCATTAATTCGAACGACCATTAAATGTATACAATTTTAGGCGATCTAGCATTAACATAATATTGGTAATTTGATATTTTTTTAATTAAATTTAATTATTTCCAAAAAAACTTAATGTTATATTATATTCTATTCATTATTAATTTAGGCTTAGGGGCATATAGCTCTAAAATATATACAAACATGCATGCAAATATGCTCCTAAAATCATCAAAATATACATTATAATATGCACTAAAAAAAAAGAGCATTAAATCTTGATTAATTTCATTTTTAATTATAAAAAATAATAAATAATATTTATAAAAAAATATATATATATATTTGTAAATGCCTAACTTTGCAACTTTGACAAACCAACTGTTCTGGTAAAAAAAATGTTTTCTATTTTAATTGTTTTTAACCAATTGCATCATTGGATCTGAGTCATTCTGAGTTTCTTGAAAATTACGCTGCGTACGATTAGACACTTGTTTATATTTTCAAATGTAAATCTTTTTTTTCTTTTTGATTGAAAATACTAACATTGATCAAAAACCTTTATAATATGTATATGCCAAATAAACGTAGAAATAGCAAAATATATCCCAACATAAGAAAATTCTCAAAATATGCGTAATAAAATTACATAATAATATATAAACTCATTGTACTCTGAAACGTATTTATATAATATTACTCTTCTGTATGTTTTATAATGTCCAGTATACATATGCAAATACTATAAGTCCCTAAGTCTCTAATAATTATTATTATTCGTCGTGTATAGCTGCTGTAATATAACAATATAAGAAATAGTAAATTGCCCGCCACAAAATGGCCGCCGTTGTTTTGTTATCATCGAGGCGGTGACCCTTCCGTGTTATCACGTCGTGCAGCAGCTGTTGGCCTATAGCGGTGGTCAACGTCGGCCCCGCGCCGTGCCACCGATTTCCCCCTGCCACCGCGCCACCGCGGTTGGCACACAAATGTTAACCTCGAAAAATGAATACACGTCGCAACGCCGTCACTTCTGTTATCACTCGTGTGGCCGAACCGTTTACTGTTATCCGGCGACATGTCGATAACACGACGTCCGAACATGTTATTTTTCTGTAACAATAATTATTGCACGGTAGGTACACGATAATTATTATTATTATTTTTTATATCTATACATACCTACATCGTTACGTACGTCCGTACCATGTAGTGCGTTAACCGCGTACAGTAGTGATTAAATAGTGTAGTAAAATATTATTATTATTTTTAGTTATAATCGCACGGAAACAATATCACGCCATCGGGTCGTCTCGGCCGCCGCTTTTTTAAAGGTTACACGTTTTTCGCCTCGAAAAGTCGTTCGAAAGTCGGTCAGTTAAAAAAAAAAAACAAAATTTTCAACCGGTTTTTGTTGTGATACTTATTTTTATTACCTACCGTCATCCCTCGAGACATCGTGATATTGTGTTGTTTTCCAACTGCCCCCGGTCGTGTGACATGTGTTGAGAGGTGTCTGTCAAGTTCGGCGATGGTGATGACGGTGAAGGTCTGTTGAATAAAAAAAAAAAACAACTGTCTGTTTGGCGATTCGTTAATTAATACAACAGCAGTGGGTGTCCGTCGCAGCCGACCGTAACATCATGTTTTACGTCACCAAAGAGAAGATACTGTCGCCGGCTCAACTGAAAAGGCTCAGCGAGCACACGTACAAATGCGAGAGTCGCAGCATATCCGACTCGTTCATGCAACCGTTTTGGAATTGGCTCGTGTTGCAAACGCCCATTTGGCTGGCGCCCAATTTGATCACGCTCATCGGACTCGTCGTCAACGTGGTCACTACGTTGGTGATCATAAGTTACAGCCCTGACTCCAACTCGGAAGTAAGTCGTACAGTTACCAAGCGACTTGGCTAATTTTTAAGTGTACTTAGCATAACAACGGTCGGAGGTCGAGTTTGTTGGCAAAGAGCTATATTTTAAAGGCTTAGTACTTGGAAAAATTATTCGTGTTTGAATTTTAATTAGCAGCGACTTAAAATATCTATAGACACAATCATTGTTATTGAATCCAAAGAACAGTTTGAGAGTGAAAGTAATAAGATTTTAGTGTCAATATGGTATTAAATTGACACCATATTGAAATTAAAAAAAAAACGGGAACATTTTAAAACAATTTAAACGCATCTTTTATTTTTTTTTTAGTTAGATTTTGTAAAGTTAATTTATAACTTTTTCCTAACGTATTTTTTTCTCAAATTCATTAAATTATTTATATTAATTTTTTTAATACTTGTTTTAGGTTCCTAGATGGGCCAGCTTTTTGTGTGGTCTTGGCCTATTTATTTATCAGAGTCTTGACGCGATCGATGGAAAGCAAGCTCGTAGAACGGGTACTTCTACTCCATTAGGCGAACTCTTCGATCACGGTTGCGATTCTATATCTACCGGTAATTTAAATTTATAAATATAAAATATATTATCTAAATTGTAATTCATATGATAGCTAATTTTTATTTATTATGGTTTTTGTGTTTTTGTTTTATTACAGTGTTTATTACGTTGTCGACGTGTGTTTCTGTAAAATTGGGAGAATACCCTTCTTGGATGTTTGTTCAAAGTTTTTTCGCCGTCGCTCTATTTTATTTTGCACATTGGCAAACTTACGTATCCGGTATGTTTTTTTTTCTTTTTTATATGTTATGTAATTGCTATTATTATTATTTTATTTTTTTGTTCAGGTACTCTTCGGTTTGGTAAATTTGATGTAACCGAAACGCAGCTAACTATTATATTTCTGCATGTTACGTCAGCCATATTTGGAACTGAAATTTGGGACTATCAAGTATGTGTTATGAGCGCGATATTGTTTTAAAAATAATTCATAAATTATTGTTTAAATGTTTTTATTTTTACTCGTAGATTCCAATGTTTCAAGTGAAAATTAAATTTGTGTTGTTACTGACAACACTGGCAGTTTCCGTATTTTTGGCCAAGTCAAATCTAGCTGTTATACTTACTGGTGGCATTGGTAAAAACGGATCTTCCGTAGCGGTAAGTTGTGTGGCCCATGTTTTAATAATACTATTATAATTTATTCTGTAGTACATAGCTTGCATATTGTTTCTATATTAACGTTTCGACTGTTGCTTTCTTAATTTACAAAACAACTTGCGTTTTAAATGAACCATTTATCATACAACTATGAATTTTTTTTATTGCCGCTTTCCTTATAATTGGTATATTTTTAAAAAAGGACCTACAGTTAAATTTATTTATAATAACTAAACGTAATGTGTAGATAAATAAAAAAATTAAAAAAAAATAATGAAAATAGGTTTAAAAACATCCAAGCTATGATTCTTGGTTAGGTTAAAAGTGAGTAGTTTTTTTCGAAAAGAATTACCATCTTGTTGCGAGCTAAACCAGCTACTTTATTGTGTTATTTTGTTTTTTAGGGGACGAGCGTTCTGTCTCCTGCGATTGCTATCGCTTTGGTAATGCTGCCTGGCTACATTATTAGCTGTAAAAGTACCGAAAACATTTACGAGAACCATCCCGTGCTGTATATAATGGCGTTTGGTTTAGTTTCTGCCAAAATAACAAACAAACTCGTGGTGAGTAGTAACATTTATTTAAACCAATAAAAACACAATAATTGTATTATATATTTTGAATACAAAATTAGGTACATTGTGACTTGACAAATAGACTATAGCTTTAACCCGAACAAACATTAAATGTAAAATAAACAAAATAGGAATATGTTTCATTTTCTTCAATACTTTTGTTGGCATAATATTGATAAATTATAAATAATTTTAAGACTAGACCCCGAAAGTTGTGAAACATTGTGTCTATTATTTGTCCAACATTTTTATGTTTTATGATAAATTTCAATCTGCAAACCTACAAATTAAAAGTAGAAAAATTACAATTTGGCTATTAAAAATACCTAGTTAAAAAAAATCTACATTTCTTATACTAACTAGAAAAACAACTTGAATAATATTTTAAACGAAACAACACGTTAAAATAAACGTTTAAGACCTTCTCTCTTTTTTTTTTTAATTTTGTCACTTAATTATTCCCAATGTTAAAAAATACGCGAAACACATTTTTAAATATTTATATCTCGTCAATGTTAGAGATTTAAGTTCGACATTTTTATTTAAAAAATTATTAAAGCCAAGTGAGAATAAAAATATTTAGTAAAATCTGAAATGCAATCATGAAATGAAGTAATTTGAGATCTTTTTTTTTTTTTGGTTTTAAAAATCCCTATACTGATAAATAAAAACTTAATATTTAAGATTTCGAATGACATTTGTATGGTCTTAAAATGATAGGCGGTGCTCTTACCACTGATAAGCAATTAGCGATTAGCAATCGCTGATGAAGATTGTCCGATTTTAATCGAATACTAGAAATGATATTTTAGTATTTGATTGATTGACACGACAAGGTTTTTGTATATTTTTTGTATTAATCGGCTTACAATTTTTCACGTTAACAGATAGCTCACATGACCAAAAGTCCAATAGACTATGTCGATTCCACTCTGATCGGGCCGGCAATGTTATTTCTAAATCAATATTTCAACTGCGTGCTGCCCGAGTATTACGTCCTTTGCGCATGCCTGGTATTTATACGAGTTCATGATCGAAGGGTGAAAAACAAATAGATTATTATTAATTTCAACAATGATTATTATTATTCACAGGTGTGGTCAGTGATCGACCTATCGTTGTATTCGATATTTGTATGCAAGGAAATTTGCGATCACTTGCGCGTTTATTTGTTCTACATAACGCCAATAGTGTCGTCGTCGTCCAAAACCAACTTGTCCAGCAGAGCGACAGGCTCGTCTAGCAAAAACGGCGGCGGCTTGAATAGTCATCATCATTTTAAGTATCCGTCGACCATGACTAGTTTTATCTATCCATCCAAAGCAAAAACGAAATAATGGTTGATTATTTCTTTTCGAATCAAAGGTCTGGTCATTGTTATAATCTCAGTTTCGACAATTAAACATATTAATACTAATAATAATAATAATGTTTACAGTAACTATTTGGGTTGTTGTCAATATTTATATTCAATTAATTTTTTTTTTTTTACTCTTTCATTATATCTCTTGTTATTTTTAAAATTGTATATAGTTTAATAGTGGATGTGGCAATCCAGCGTAGTCTCTTTTATTATTATTTTTTTTTATAAATACATGAAATGCCAATAGTACGTTTAGTAAACAATTGTTAGTTACTGTTTGTCCGATATAAATCTGTTATAACAAATATGACTAATATTTTTTTTTTTCGTTCACAAACAATGATTATTTTTGAGCTATGGTCGAACATAATATTATGCTAATGCATTTTTTTTTTCGCCAAAGAAGAATTTAACGTCTTTACGAGATCGAGTAATGTGCACTTGTGATAAACTCGATAACAAAACAAGCTTCGTGTGTAAATAATATAAAAATTGTATTGTTATCTAAAACGTTATATAGTATGTTAGAATATATATTATCGAATGTAACTGTGAAAAAAAAACAACGAAAAGATAATACTTGCCTAATTATTATTATTATTATTTCTTTATCAACGGTTTTTTATTAAATCATTTGTTCAAGTTAATTATTATTGTTTCTTACTATTTTTTTTTTTATATACGTATTTTTATTTTATCGTCTATTCGATTTAGTTTTCAGATAATTGAATCTCAATTGACCTCGTTATTACCACAAAATAATATCACTGTTTGTTTGGCGATCTGTTACGTCATGGCAAGTATTTCAAAACTTCAACTTAATATTGTTATAGTAATCATAATTTACTTTTGAATATAAATAAAATGTAATAAAACTCCTAATGAGTAACTTTTGGTGCTTTGAAGTTGCTCATACTTTGTAATATTTAAATTATAATTGTAATTTTATTCCATCTATATCTGACCCGTAAAGAACCGTAAAAGTGGGTAATAAGAAACTGAAATACATTTTATTGGTCACTTACTAGAACTACTACTGTTTTTATAATTAATAATTGCCCCTTTTATAAGAAAATGTTTTTTTTTTCTAGCAATGGTCAATTTAACCTTAAGGATCCTCTACACTAGCATTTGTGCCAAGGCGCATTGTAAAATTAATTTTCAATAAACTTGAAGCTAAAATTTGTAAATCATATAAACACAAGAGTTATTTATATAAACATTCATTTTTTCTCTTATAACACATTTATATGCTTTATTTTTGTACGAAAACATGTTTTTACTTCTATAGAACCTACTATAAGTAAACCGATTCAATTTTTTTTAAAAAAATTTGTTCAAGGGTTTCCCAAGGCATCGACCGTGGCACAATTTCCCAACTTTTCAATCGGTTTTACAATATTATTTAGATAGAAAATTAAAAATGCACTTAAAACTAGAGGAATCTATATCTATTTTCATAACTATTGTAGAATTACTCGTTTCAGAGTAAAAATCATAATTGATTCAATGTAGCGGCAGTTCTCTCTTCAGCCAACAGTTTATATTTAATAATAAAATGTCAAATTTAGGTTGTATTGTCATGTAACGTCTAATTAGGAATGCATTTTTGTCCATAGTTCAAATTCCAAAGTACCAATCGCAAACGATTTGTGATCCACAAGGTTGTCTGTGTAATATATTGTATTTGTATGTAACGCAAACAAAAATCTAAAAAAAAAGTCCTACGTGTTAGAAAACGTTTAATGAGTTTGCTTCTTTCAATAGGTTATAATAACTGGCGAGATCCAACAGAATTCTGGTCTAGTACAAAATGAGTTTTACCATTATATAGTGTTGCTCTGCCGCATATAAGGCGGCGGCTTGGTTTAAACAATATTATAATGTTTGACTAGATCAAGTCTAGTTTAGTGGGTTGTTTATCTTCTTTTTTCTATACGAGTGATTCACATGCACTATTTTCTCTTATGCACCGACACTTGGTGACTACGCAAAAGGCAATGAAAACGGTTATGCCGAAAACGCATTTGAGCGGCAAGTAACTTTTAGGAGGATCCTTGCACCGGCGTCTGACGTCGACCATCTAAAATACACAGTAATTGTATTGTTGTTCTATCGAGTGGTGCCATTACACAGAGCCAGTGTGGTCATAAAAACCACTCTGAAACGACAAGGGTGCAATGGACTTTACTTTGCTCTGCAGAATCAGCAAGTAGTCCAACCGTTCCTGGTACGGCAACGTCTTGGACCACAGAAGGCATCTGGCCAGCTGTTTCATGGTCCAAATGTAAGTGTCTTCGGTGCCTACAACGGGCAGCAAGTCGGTTTGGTCCATCGGTTCGGATGCCACAGTGAAGTGCAGATGACACGCCAGCGACAACAGCAGAGGGATGTACATTTTTCGCAATTCAATATAAATGTACTGGTTTTTTTCCTTCTTTCTAGACCTGTGCCCGTTACCGTTGTGACACGGTATGCTTGTCAGTCGAATAGGTATGTAGCCAACGGAGAAATAATAAAATATGTAAACAAAACAAAAATTACCATGGCGGAAATGAACGGAAAAATTTGTTTAAAAAAATATCTCTGCCAACCGAGAAACCAGAAGCAAATGTTTCCAAAGCAAGTGGTTATATATTTGGTATGTATTTTATAATCAATATCTTATCAAGAAGGCGAGAGTGAAATAACTGTAGTATTTGTAGAAATGTTAGTGCCTAGTGGGTACTTCTGTTCTCCGTGGTCTCCAAAGGACATTCCTCGTTTACTCAAATATAAAGAAATTGCATTCAATTGATAGGTACCTTATGTCTAATACCCAAAACTTGTTGTTTATGCACATAATTGATTTAATTCTGAAGTGAGCCAGTTTTTTGTGTCATTTTAAATGATGTCCATTATGGACAAAGAATGAAAAAGAATAATATTTGCTTTAAAACGGTTGTAAAAAGGCATTAGCTGATGATAAAGTGTCATCATATACAAATTTGTAATATTTCATAATATTCATCTGAAGAATAAAAAAATATATACCCTTTACTATTTTAACCCCGTTTTCTGAAACAGTTTCAGTCAAAATAAATTAAAAGAGCTACTTTTGTCTATTGGCACAGTGGTAAAACTGGAACATCTACCCTATTTCCATAATATTCTACATAGTTGCTATAATATGGTATAACTTAAATGTATTATTTGTCAACTGTCAATTAGTTCTGATTGTACTCTATGAAAGTCCAAGTAAAAATGAAGCCTTATAAACGAGCTGCGCTTCAATAACCAGTCAGTGGGGATTATTGTTAACTTGTTATAATATACATTTATACACAGGACCCTCAGAAGTGATATTATTTATAACAATTTTAAATTACTAGCAATGCTGATTTTGAGAGGGTAGTATATCACTTATACTGTACAGAGTATAATATTTTGAGAGGCTTACCAACTTTTTTAATCATCCTAGGTCTTTTTAGCGCTTAACTTTAATAGTGATTATCATGTTATTTTTAGTCATGTATCAAACAACTCGGGTTTTTAGTGTTTTATAATAATTTTATTCCATCAGAAGATACAATAAGTCAATGTCTTAAAAAAAAAACTCAATAGTAAAATACAACGTGTATTTTTTTTTTTTAATAATAATAATAAGTTATAACATATCAACGTAACGCTAAAAAAACATCTACAAAATATTTTTGCAATTGCAATGGTCGATTTTTGGGTTTTCAATAATCATTACAGCTAGATGATAAGAGGTACGCACGGTAATACAAGAGAACTATTCACAATAAAATAATTATTATAATATTATATTATACGAATTTAAAAAAAACAAAACGGCTTACAGTTAATCGTTATCCTCTACTGTATAGTTACATGCCTAATGCGCGGTTTAAGTTGTAAATATCTACAAAACAATTATTTATTTTTAATAAAACGCATTTTGTACTTAAGAAAAAAAGTCGTCTATTTTATTAATAATATAATGTGGAAACAAATTAACGCCCGGTGTAAACCTGACGGTTTGTTTTGTCTAAATTAATTTTTGTTCTTCAAACGGTTGTTAACATGACATTATAATAATGTGTAAAATAAAGGAAAATCGTTGGTATAGCGTAGCAGCAGCTGTTGTTAATGGCTAGTCTAATCAAACACTGTGTCTCCCAAAGCTCAATATTATTATTTTGATACATATTATATTTGTATATTACCGTTTGTTACAAACCAGACTATTATATAAATAAGTTTAAATTGTATATCTGTAGCTCTGGTCTATAAGGGCAGAATCTTCACGAGTTCAAAGTCAATTTTTGCAATAAATTATGTTTTAAAATGTATATAATTAACGGACACACTCGTTTATACCTATGCACAAAATTAGACCCGAGACACAGATATAGATAATAATGTATATATATATTAAAAACAAAATGTAATTTCATAGGTAAAAAAACAACATGAAATTTGTGTATAAAACTTATGACGGATTTAAATTTTCCCGCCACCGGAATCAGCCGAGACCGGCAACTGTTGGGTTATTGCCGCCGCTTTGCCGGTGGATGAAGTATTGCCTGTCGACGGCCGTTTATGGCCAGCAGCAATATAGGAAAAAACGCATAGCACAGCATAGCATATTTGGCCGGCCTTAAACAAAAAAAAGAACAATTTTTTTTTTGTTTTGATCCAAAGAAACGAAATTTTAGAAAAAAAAAAACGCAACATTACTAAATCATAACAGAGTTTAGGTATAAATAATAAATTTAAAAAACATAAACAAAACAAAAACTTAACTTTAACAGGTTACAATAATAATATGGCAGGCAAATAAAACGACAATATAAAAAATGTATTGGCAATCGTGGTTACATGCGGTATGTGAAGTAAGCGAAAAGGCGAAGTACAGTGTGACCAAAATGACGAAATTATATTTCTCTGGTACATGTATTTTTTTAAAAAAAATTTTAACTACAGCCACCATGTGATATACAAAACATACTGATTGCCAGTTATAATATTAGTATCATGTGAAATTCGAATTTAGCATGTGTTAACGATCATCCGTGATTAACTGTTGATAACAAAATACAATTGTATTTTAATTTAAATTGGTCATACTGTCGTTCGCGGTTAACAGCTTTTTAAAATTTTTACACTACAGCACGTGTTTGTGTTGAATAGGGTTAATGAATAAAAGGTATGTATATTAACAATGCGGGTAGGTTAAATTATTAAATAATTTATTTTGTTTGGCCGTCCACCGCTTTCGATTTTCTCAGCATCAACGTTTGCGAATATACAATAGACATGATGCGATGCAAAGACAATAGCATTGCGTTAGCCTAAAACAACACACGACTTTACTAAAAAAAAAAATAAAAACAGTCATCAACAAACAACAAGCTTCATACTGCAGGTATAATAGCAAGTACCTACCTACCTACACAACAAGTGTTCAAAATCACACGGACCTACACCAATTTATAATGGTTTATCCCAAAATAAACAAATAAAATAGAGAAAAAAAAATCTATCAGGGTACCGGGAGATTAAATTGAGTTAGGATAGGCCAGAAGATAATTTCCGATATAATACTTATTTTAAATTTTATTTCTTTAATAATGGTACTATAGAGCGAAAAATTTTAAAAATGTTTCCAAGAAAACAGTCTAAAAAATAATATAAATAGTTTTTAAAGTTCTAAGATTTGATTCATTATCATAGCTGAAATATTTATATAAATATTGTATTGTATCAGTTAGAAAGTTCTTTTATACATTTTTTTTTTGTGGTTTTAAGTTCTTTTATAATTACCCATTAGTTTTAAAAAATTTAGGCGCATACAAAATGTAATTTAGTTTTATTTCATTCAAATAACAAGTATAATATTTCTAAGCCAAACCTAAAACAAAATTGATCCACTAAAAGGCAGAACTTAGTTTGTTTGGAATTGGCATTTATAAAATTTAAATTGCCTTTTTAGTCTTAACTAGTATCGTATAAGCGACTTTTTTGTAATTTTTTCACAATAATGTGTTTTTCCAAAAGTATTCCAATATCTAGACTGATTTATATGTAAACACTATTTTATATATTTAATGTTGTTATTGTTCATGTTTTATATCCAAAATTGTTTACTAAAAATCGTTATTTGTACAAAATATCAGTTTATGAAATTTTGAACACATTAGGTGTAAGGAGAGCAAATAAAAGAGTTAGCCAAAGTTGAGTTTTTGACTTGAAAATACACAATATCATACCGGGTTGCATAATGCATTAACTTTCATTATCGAACCGTTATATGTTTGGTGTTATCTTTATTTTTAAACAGTTAGTTTGCAACCCGGCAAAGAAGGCGGGACTCGATATGAGAGGACGTTTGAATATTATACAAATTAAAAAAAAGAAAAACGAGGCACTTAATTAAAAAAATACCTCATTCAAATAATATAATTGTCATGCAAGCGTCTTATCGGATAATCGAATTAAAGTAATGTAAATATCATATTTTTTGTATAGACGACTGCGCATCCAAAAGTATGTCTGATCGCCATATTATGCAAGTAGAGCAATGTTTATACTAGTTATCAATATTTCATTGTGATAATATAATCAGTCCTGGCCACTGATATGAATTAACATGATAATAATATGTCCTATCACACAAAAACGTAGCGACCATCTTTTCGTTTGTCAAACGGTATATCCGTGTGTATTATTATTATATCAAAATTCATCACTGATAACATATTATAAACATTGCCCTATTTGCAAAAATGGCGGTCATACTTCTTTTTTGAGTTTAAATTCGTAGTTATTCGCTATTTGTGTATATATCTGTGGGTTTACTAGACTACGAATCATGCAAAATATTAGATAGGTATCATAAGTCGCATGCTTTATAACATTATATAATATTCGTTTCAAAAATCCGTCGTGTGTGTGTCGGACGGGGAAAAAACACTTACCATAGGCGATTCGTATTGCCGTTGAATGATGTGTTTGAGTTTTGGATCTGAAACAGTTTTAGAACGTTAACAGTCGCATAGGTAAGGGCATTTTTTATTCGTCTATTAGACGCTATTATTTGTCATTATAACTATTTTGTAGAGTAGGTAAGATTTTGCGAGCCACACTCACTGTATTCTTCCAAAACGAAAATCTTTTTCTGCACCGTGAAACATTTTCGCACGTGGTCCAGCCGAACGAAAAACTGAAATAAAACGACAAGGCAAGTGAATTGACGTAAGGCAAACAGGGCAATAGGTATAATATTTGTGCTTGGTGGTTTTTAAATACAATCAAATATATTGGTCCGTTGACTCGACAACGTCGTGACACATCGAATTTACTGGTGGGGTGCACCTACTATCCTAATGTATAATAAAAACCACGTACATCTACGTTCGGAACATAATCCTCTAAGGTAATCAATATATTATATACAAAGTGCTTCTAATGTAATAAAAAAAAAAAATTAACTATTGCAGGGTCTGTAGAATTCACTACAAGAATCGATTTGATATTACACCTAAGATGTATTTCAAGTGGTGTTTCACTTGGATCGTCTTTAAGGTTGATCAAGGTTCGGATGGCGTTTTGGTGTGTACATAAATCCTTGTTGGCACTAGTTGTTATCCGGATTTTGAAATTCAGTTAATTGAACTCGGAGAGATTTTGGAGAAATTCAAGAAGTTTGGAAGAAAAGAATTGAGTGTGTCGATGAGAAACCGCTGATTTGCATTGTGTGATTGGAAAACGAGGCACGTTAGAATTTAAAGATGTACGAATCTCCTTTAGGAGATATGGAGTAACGGTTAAGTACCGTGGACCGCTGTTACAAAATGAATTGGTTGTTATTTTAAGAAGATATGGAACACAGGGTGAAATGACAATGTCAGAGACTGGAGACAGTCATCGGGTGTTTTGTGCGATTACCGTAGTCCACTTAGACTAAAGAGAAGAGGATATGCAATTAGATTTTAGAAGAATATTAGTTTGTAAAAAAGTAATAGACAGTGAAGAAATAAGCCAAAGTAACTGATGAGAAAACCAACCTGAGGACAGGTGTGTTAAGGCTGAGATAAAAAATCACGAAGAGATGGCGGATAAAGAAAAGTGAAAAATAATTTCAAAGTGGTGGACCATTGGATTTATGACAAGAACTTTTGGAGATACTTTTGGGTGTTTTTAAATAGGTATAATAAAAAGAGAATGGAATTGAAAATATTTTATTCCACTAACTGATATCTTCTAAATCTATATCTAGCCTAAGGATCATACATTTTAGTTGCAATCAAAGAGGTGGGTTGGGTTATTAAAAATGTTAATTTCTCTGTGTTTCTACGTGGGAATTTATTTGTTATTTTTTTTTATCCTAAACCTATCATGGCGAGGGGGTTTATATTTTAACCATGTAAAACGAGCCAACCGGTAATACACATAACGCACAACTCGTCCGTTTCGTTTTGGGCTCTAGCTTGAGCATATTATACACCTTGAGTACAATTTTAAGACCGAGGATATGTATTCATTACAAATCGGACGGGTCGTACATAAAGTACACCATAAAAACATTATAGGAAAAAAAACCATTAGTCTAATTATTGTAAAAAATCTATTGAATTTAGTATAATTATTCATCACTACGCATGCAAGCAAAACCAACTATAGTGACGGGTATAACGTTCAACCGCATGCTCTATACACAATACAACAATGCATTTTCATATATAGGTATCTAATAATATGCAATATAATATAATACTATTTACGTCATGTACAATAATATTATTTTCAATTACCTTTTGGGTAGGTAACAGTGTAATATTATTATTAATCGTACACTAATAATATAATATGCACAATACACGACCAAAGCGCATACAAACGGAATGTAAGTAAATCGTACCAAAACTGCAATCGAATACACAATATACAAACACACACTTACGGTATAGTAGACACAGGTATATCGTATATAGATATATATATATATATATCTCATAAAACACACATTATACCGTCATAATGGTAGGCATTACACTCGGTATAATATTATACTATGAAATACATTTTCTCCCGAGTGTGTTGTCTGTTGTGTTTTCGAACAATCGTTTTGATTATTCGGACAAAGCGCAAACGTCAAAAATCAAAGCTTAAGTCAACTAGTGAGATGGCCAGGCAGTAATTACTGTAAATATATGTTATGTATTATAATTATAATAATATATATAGATATACATTACGATAGATGTACACACACACACACACATATATATATTCCAACATTATACATCAAGGCCATAGTCATAGTCGGAACGAATAAATAGAACATACAATTTTTTTATACACACCTCAATGTCAGTATTCAAAACCAAAAAAAAAAACACCCTGTGGCAATGCACCCTGTTCATTGTGGGTTTCTGTACGATACGAATAACTCTTGACAATTTAATTTCGCCTCGTATAATGTATATATATAAAAGTTAATATGATACATACATACATATATATATATATATATATATATATATATGGCTATGTGTATATATAGCTATGTGCTCATATGTATATATAGCTATGTGAGTGTGTGTATTTTGAGTGCACAGTACATAATTTTTTTTTTTCTAGCCATGCTCTCCCCGTGTACGGTATACGATAATAAATTCCTAAACAAACGCATCGTTGTTGTTTATTTTGTTTTATATTGTAAGTATAAAAAAAAATTAACGTGAAGGGTCGTGGGTGTGTGGGCATGTGAAGGGTTGATGATCGAGGGAACGTAATGACTTTTTTTTTTTTTAAACAAAAATATGTATGTATAATAAAAAATAAAAACATTACGACGCTATCCGTCCGCAAAAATATATAAAATAAAAAAATAGAAATATAATATTTAATAACAGTCCATATACGTATATAATAATAATAATAATGCACTAGAGTGGATATGACATTTAGCAAACAGGAAAATCAAAACTATGTTATTTATACATATATATATATATATATATATATATATAAATATAATCTATGATCAATTACAAAAAAATTAAATAAATAATAATTGTAAAACCGTACTATAAACTTTTTAACGTTTAAAACAAAAAATTTGTTTACTGTATTTAATTATTATGTACCTCAAAGTCCTGAACGAGAGACAATTCAATCCATCGCGTTACGACGTTTCATAGAAAAAAAAAAAAGAAAAAAAGGACAATATAGTAAATATATTAAAGGCATGTATATTATATATGATATGAAAATCAATTAAGTACAACAAAATAGGAAACAAGAAAAATAAAATGTGTTTTGTTATAGTTTTTTTTTCATACGTTCATTTCATAAATCTTTATTGTTAATGTTTATTATTTTTGTTTTTTTATCTACATGTTATTATTCTTTTTCTATTCCGGCAATGGTAACAGGTAATAATTACACCATATTACTATCATCACCATTATCGACATCATCATTATTATTATTATTATCATCATCGACCTGACCGAGGACCATCTCAAAAGTTTCTTAAACTTTGTTTTAAAATAAGAGTAACAACCACACGATGTGAGTGTTTTCAGACTGAAACGAATAAAACTTTTTTAAAAAAAATTATATAATATGTATAAAATATAATATTAAAATGATATCCAACGAAACCAAGGCGATTACAATATAGATCATAATACCGTCGCATTTATAGTATAAAAATAATAAATATACATGTATAATATACGTACGTTTATAGGTGTATTATACATATAGGTTTATCAAAAAAATAAAAATTAAATATATATGTATATATAAGAGCGTTAAAAAAAACACGTGTGAAGTATATATTTTAATAACGAGCGTGGTGTTGAGTAAAAAAAAACTCTGAGAATAAAATAACAAAAACAAAAAAAAAATTAAATAAAATAGTAAAAAGTTTTAAAGCAAATTGAACATTCTGAACTTTAAAAAAAAAAAATGTAAATATTCCCGTACAAACATATACATATACGAGTATATACAATATTGTATAGGAATAATATGTAATGCATATTATTTATTATATGTATGTATATTTGTGTATACGTATGTATATGTATATGTGTTATACTTGATCACACAAAAAATGTATACAAAAAAAAAGTAAGTAAATATATATATAAATGTAAGTAGGACAGAAAAAAATATGTAAAATTTTGCATGCCTAAACTCTGGGAAATACGGTTATATTATATTATTATCGTTTTTAAATATAAGTAGTAATAATAATAATAATAATAATAATAATTAAGTGCGGAGACAAAACGGTATTTGGCAATTTTAAATTAGGTATTATCTTCATATTTTTGGTTTTTAAGAAATAATCCATTATGCGATTGAGGTGGATATTTTCACCGAGCAGAAAACAATAATAATTAAGCGTATAATAATAATATATAATATTATTATTATTGTGAACTTTATAATCTTCTACTAATAAAATGTATGTTTTTGGAGTTATGTTTGTGCGCAACTAATGTGTGAATTATATATTCATTTCTAGATATTAGTAATCGTTGCTCTAATCAATATTGTTATACTGCACCGGGTCGTTTTGTAATGTTATGGTGTATTTAAGAAAATTTTGAGAGGTCCTTATAAAAACATGAAATTACTGTTGGCGAATGGCTGTGGTGAACGGCTTTCCTATATACATTTTCAAAACGGTTAACAGAACAATTATTATTATAATAAGTATATAATATTACCTATATAATATATTATGTTTATACGTATTAATATACTATCATATAACGTTTGTTTCAATATTATAATTAGTAGTTTTCATATAATATATAATACTATAGCTAATTATTCGGTAGACACGGTTAACATAATTATACTTAGAATGTTACACCAATGACGTTTTTTTTTTTAATGATATGCACAAGTACAGTGACGTGTCCGGGTTGATTATAAAAATACACTTCTTGCACAACGTCAATATTTATATTTCTCTACTTTATATACACATAGCATATACCAGCTGTAAACAATACACGGTTTGTTGCTGTTCAACTATACTTCTTAGACACAAAATATCTTAAAAATATCAGTATATTACAATATTTGAGCCAATAACGTTAGGCCAAACTTATTGATGACAGCTCCTCTTACATGATCCATAATGACTTTGACGCTTTAAGTCAAGCCCGGTAAATTCACATACAAATTAATTATCAGTTATCACCCTCGTGTAATTTGTAAACCGTGACCAAGTAAAATGAAAAATGTAGAAGAAATGATCAAAAAAATAATTATTTGAATAACTTTTTACTACACGATTAGGCCGAAATCAGAACTCACGAGATCCAAAAAATGGTAAAATGAGTTGACCTTAGGTTGGCAACACTATGTTACAGGATTTTTGATGTAGATATCATTCTGTTTAGTTCTATATTTAGCTTTCAAACCAATGATTATAGTATGAAAACAGATTTGGATTTGAATTGAAGGGTTCAGTGCAACAACTAGACAAGTCCACATTTTTGAAAGTTATTTTTCATGGAAAATTCATTTTCATTTTGATGTCGCAGACCGTGAAATCGGACTATTACTTATAAATTTAATACAAAAATTAATTTCCCTGCCAATTACAGTAGATGGAATAAAGACATTTTATTTATCCTCCTTTATATTTTTATCGAGTGGACTTATCTAGTTATTGCACCGTATCTTTTAATTAATTATTTCTTGTGTTTTCCAACGAGTTTTGATTTCAGCCTACTCATAGATCTGTGCGCACCGTGTAAGTGCAAATGATTAGGATTGTGTGAGTAAATTTTAGAGCCTACCCCCGGAACACGTCACATACTAATGACAATGATGGAACAAAAAATCATAAAAAAAAATATTATTTGAACTGTAATAAATATAATATGTTATCATGGATTTAAACGAACAGCGTTTGGAAAATCAACGTACTCGAATGTACATGCTATAATTCCTATGACCTAGAAATTCCTGAAGCTGTCGTTAATGAAAACAATATAGCAATAACAAATTTGAACGGTAAACTATGATAGAGATCTTTGGAAATAAGTGACTGTACTTGGACAACTCGATAGTTTTATTCCGTTGCAGATTTGCCGAAATACGGAGAGGTAACAATCGAATACAAAATCGCATTCTTCTTCAAGTCATGATTACACAATTTTCTGAAAACTGGAGGATAGTGTAAAATGCAACGATGAAAACGAACGATACGAAATTTGAAAAAAAAACATTAAGTCTAAAAAGTAAGTGCTTATTGTTAACCGGATATGCTTCTTCGTTAAAACCTATAAGCATTAAATCAGTGGACTTGAAAATGTTAATTTAATGTTTACAAAGGCTCGAGACAGCTTTCTCGTTTATTTTGGGCGTTCACGATTTATATCAAATGTGTACCGAGTTGACCAACTAATTTTTAAACGAAATCATAATAGACATGTCAGCTATATAATATTATTATATCCATTTATGAATAATTTAGACTTCTTAACGCGAATCGATCCGTCAAGTTTGCAGTGTCAACAAAATCAAACTTTGACGGCTCGCCTCTTTATCTACCGTCCGAGTTGGGCGCTTTCAGAATATTGATCACCCGTGGTATTTTTCTCTGAAAATATTATCGTTTATTTTGCGAAAACCATGACAAACCCTATCAATCAACAAAAACGCATTGTCAAAAACATATTTTCGATAATCCTGTTATGTAAAGCTGTTATACAAATATAATAACATGTAGAATTGAGTATGCAGTGTACTCAATGTGTTCAGAACTGTCGTGGCAAGAAATCGGATAAGCGTGTGGTAGTTAAGTACCACGCGTCATCTGATGTGACGTGTCATTCGCATAAAAATATTCATGACATTCGTAAAACGCGAAAAGAAGCTTTATTAATAATAACTGTGTATTTCAATCGCAACAGTGATCGTTACGGGTACGTTTTTTGCTATGAGTCTTTAAGCAAACCGAAAAAATTGGTTTTTACTTAGCTGGCATGTCTATAATATAAAAACTTGGTTGGTTAGTCGTATAGCTGTGACGTCATGTTAAAAATAAAATTAAAAATTAAAAAAAACATATAGTCATGTATTTATCTCGGATCGTGGGAAACGAAATGCTATTCTTTTAACAACAATAAACGAACTGAGGAGGAGGAGGGTTTTAAACAAAATACTAATAAGTATAATAAGTAATAATAATAGTAATAGTAATAGTAATAATAATAATAATAATAATAATAATAATAGTAGATAATAATAATAATAATAATAATAATAGTAGTAATAATAATAATAATTAATAATAATAAAACGCGTAGTATAATAGTAATAATATGTATATATATTTTTTAATCATATAATTGTTGCTGCGGCATGCATTTCTTGTATTACTTACCTTGCTGTCGGAGAATAAAAGACCCACTCCTTCCATGCATACTTGAAGTATACCGCCTTCTCCGGTGGCCATGTCTTTGACCGGAAACTCTCCGCCCAGTTCCACGCCGGATATGATGCCTTGCCCCCTCTCGGCGGCTTTTTCCATCGACGTTTTAATGCGAGTATACAATTCTTTGCACTGAAACGATACAAGCCGGTTACGTTTTGCTTAGAGGTTCACCGAGTGTTTAACATGAGTATGTTTTTGGGCCGAGGGTCTGAAGAAAACTCACATGAAGCTTTTGCAAGGCGAGAAGAAAAAAAGGGGTGGCAATGGGGTAGGGAAGGGATTGTGATAAATAAGCACGAGGAGGGGTGGGATAACGATAAGGAAAAATCGATAATTCCTGGACAGCTGATAAGATCCAATCGATGAAAGATGATCGATAAGACACAGAAAATCAGCTGATCACAAGGCGTGTTCACGATCCAACGTGTCTTTCATCCGGAGGAAAGATTAAAGATTTTATTTTTCGATGGAAGGGGATGAGATATAATATATTTAAGAGCGTTTAATATAATATCTAACCATTCATTTCAAATTTGTCTTAGATATGCCCTTTATACATTTTTAAAAAGGCTACTTAGGTGATATATCACTCTTCAATTCTACCCCTTGAGTGGTTTTGCTTAAGACTATCTAATCACACCTCCAAAAGTGTGCCAAACTTTATTCGACGCCAAAATATATTTCCATCCCGCTTTTATATGGTTCTCAATGGTTATATCATAGGTAAATTTCAAGTGAATAACTACTTTTTTCGTGTAATATTTATTCAACTGCAGTTGTCCGCCGTTGGCCGTCCTCCACAAGCAGAATATTTTGCTTCTGGGGCTGTACGTCATGTTCACTATGCGTTCGTACCACCATCTGCTAATGATGATTCCCGACCCCGACCGAAGCACAAGTCCGTCGTCTCTGACTTCCAAAAAAAGCAGTTCCCCAGACGAGTCGCCACAGTGTACGGCAAAACTTTGTCTGTGGGCCTGCCTTGAATTGGACGGCTTCAAGTCGACGTCGTTTCCGTGCTAAAACAGTCGATTTAAATGTGTTTTAAATTCTCGCTAAGGCATTAGCTAAAGTTTAGACGATAAACATTGTAAGTAAATTATTGTAAATACCAAATTCGTTAGCTGAGACATGAGTCCAGTGATTTCGGTAGCGTAGCAATTAGTCACCCGACTTTTGCCCACTAGAGTCCGCACGATTTTCATCAGGCTGTCTTTAGGCACGTTCATCATGATCATGAACGCGATCAAGTTGTGTATCATGACCGACAAAAGTTTGTCCTCGTCGTATTCCAAACGTTTCTTTTCGCTCTGACTTAAATTTTTGTACCTAAGAAATGAAAAACGACAAACAATATTATTATTTCTGGGAAACCATTTCATGCATTTGGACAATTGAAACATTACCTTTCCATCATTTCTATTGGTCCTTGATCCATTCCTATCATATCTCTCTCTTGGCTGACTGTGTCGATAAACACGTCTTCCCAAAATTTAAGTTGATTCCAGATCGTGCTCCTCTCTTTACCCAATATACCTTTGTACAAGTACATTATTCATATAAATATATTCGTTCACAGTGATGTAAACTTTTGTCGTTAATACGTTAAATTACAATATTAAAATATCAATTGATCAAACTAAATATGGCTCAATGCAAGAAAGTCCAATGTCACGTTTTTAAACCTTTTATATTATTTGAGTATTTTATGATTATTTATTTTGGCTGAGTCGATGACCGATTCTTACATCAAATTCAAAGGTATTTCTTTATATCGACCACTAAGTACTGTAACTTCACATACATACCTTCGAATAAATAAGTTCGTCCTGACTCTGGACTGGGCGACCCAGACGTGGGGTTCAAGAAGTTTCCACCGGGATATCGGAATCCAGCACTGAGCGAAGATTTACTGGACCAAATACTCTGTGTCCGGTTTTTGTTTGAAGCTTTGAAGAGCTAACAGTATAATATGAGGATGTTACAAGTTTGGTTATTTCAAAATATTTATGTTTTTTTGTTTACAATAACAATTAAATACAGCCTTTATTCTTATGCAAAGGTAGTACTTACTCCAGAATTGTCAAGTTCGCTGTCAGATACGGCACTTCGAAAGAGTGTTGCGCTATTTCTGTTGTTGTTGTTAGGCGATACTCTCTTTAAATAAAATGCCGGATTGTTAACTAGCCCAGTGCTACCACTGCAACTGGATATGTCCGACGTGGCCGATGAGATCACAGTGGTCGTGTCTCCCTTTATAAAAAATAATATATAATATTAACCCGTGAAATATTGATGTCTGTATTGAAAAAGACTGACGATCAGTACTCACTTCGTTATCCATGGTGGGACTGTTACCGGAAACGTTTTCTTGTTTCTTATTGATAAACTCGTCAAACATTTCACTAGTGGAAACCGTGGGAGTGATGGATCCTCTGCTTTCGCTAATGATTGAAGATTCGTGCACCAGCCTTCCTCCGCTTTTGCAATCTGCGTACATATTAAAACCGATTGTATTACGTGTACAATGCCACCGAACAGATGGTGTTTGTTTAATGTGGGAAGCGCTGAGATATTTTTTTGGTTTGTTCGAATGTTCAATCGAAAATCCAATTATTTACCAAAAAGTCCAGAAGTGCTTGTTTGTGAGGATTTTCTGGATTCTTGATTGGCACTGGAAACCGGAGAACCGACCGCGCTGGGACTTAGGGGCGGCGAACGTATGTTCTCGTGGCTACCGTACGGACTGGATGCCTGTAATAGAAGCCAACCGAAATAATTATCAACTCTAGTGTCTTGTGTGTATTTAACCGCGGCACTCACTTGTGACTCGAAACCGACCATGGATAAGTCTTTAGTCCAGTAATGAGTGTGCGCTATTTCCAACACTTGAAACGCAGATGCCAAACCACCGCCTGATTGATTGGCAAACGACACCTCTAATCCGTGAACGATGGCCAACAAAGCTTTCAACATTCCTTTCCAAACGGGCCGGCTGATGTACTGCGATAAATGAAAAACACATAACGCGTTGTATTCGTTTGTTTGTTTAAAGTGAATGCATATAAAAGCAAAAAAAAAAACGGTTTAATTACCACATCGTCAATATGATCGCTCGGGCTGATTTTGTAGTCTAGTGTTCGGTTTAGTTTGCTGAGTACTAAATTACGGTATCCCTCTTCTTCCATTAATTTTTTAAATCGGTTCAACTTGAGCCATCCGATTCCGTCGCCGTCGAGAATTTGTTTTGTCACCTGAGTGCACAACAAACGAAACATGCCGTGTAAACGAATGAACACTTTAAAGTGGACGAAATTTTATAACCGGTGGACTTACGTCTTTTAGAAAAGTTTCGTTGTCCGTATGACTGTTGAGCTTGACGTTTCGTTTGCTTTGAGCTTTAGGCGGATCTTCGGGTTTTTTGGGATTCGAATGTTTTATCAAATTGGACTTTTCCACTAATCCATTGCGGCCTACTGTAAAAAAAAAGTTATTATAATTTCATGACAATATTACTGACAGGTTTTGTTTTGTATTTTACCTCTGCTGGGGAATGGCCCGAAAGGTGTTCGGTCCTTTGATTTCGTTACGGGCAACGTGAGCGAAGTCTTGTTGCTTTTTTGTTGTTTGTTTCCTGTAACACATAGGACGGGATTTATCAATGCCTTGCAAAATGACGGGGTTTAACAGAAAACGCATACCGAAAAGATCACTAAACATGCTGGACGTTTGCGTCGCCAGTCCGTTTATGTCGCTAGTTATATTTGAAAAAAAGTCTTTGCCGCCGCTGGCTTCCATCGATGTGGTGCTGGGAGTTCGGCCGATGTCAGATGTGCTTTTGAACCCTGAACTCATCGTTGGATACGCCGGGGGGTCGTTAACGTCGTCTTCTAAACTCCTGCTCAAAGAAGACGACTCGCCGAGCAAACCGACCTACAAGTGTATGAAATAATCGTTTGTTATTCAACTGGAATTTTCATAAAACACTATTCGTCATCGACAACCTTGCCGATGCAGACTTACCTTAAATCCCTTTTTCGAAGCCACTTGTTTGGCGCTTTTCGTCAAGTCGTCAATGGTGCTTTTTCCCACATAAGTCAAATCGTCGAAAGTGTTTTTACTGACACCCGCTGCCGTTTTACTGGCTTCCAACGCGGACTTGCTAACTTCGTGCACGGATTTGGTAGCTTCGCCGGCCGCTTTTTTTGCTTGTGTCGTCAACTTGTCGGCCACGTGCGCGAATATCCCTCCGGATCCGTCTTGGCTGCTCTGCCTAGCAGTCTCCCTGACAAGTTCTTTCGCTTGGAAAGCGAATTGCTCCAATATTGAACTGTTCTGACTGGACTGTCTCGACAACTGGCTGGGTAGGTTGCATATGCTTTCCTTTCGACCAAGCGGCGGACTTGAGGTAACACTCGGTCTCTTTTCACCGGCAGGTACCGCGGGCACTTGGAAAGACGTCGAAATCTAAAAAATGGTTAAAACGACAATTTTCTTTTAAACGTGTGTACCGCGCAGGGATAATTATTATATACAGGACCCAAATCATTGTTGTTTCTACGTAGCTTGCCCGGTGAAAAATGTACTCACTCGAGTTTACTTTGTTAGATATTAACAAAAAAAAGGAAGCGCTGCGTAGAGGCCAGAAAATAAACGGCAAGTTAATTACACTAAAAACTACGTACGAAACAAAATGTTTGTCAAGTTTTTTTTTTGTTCGTGATTCAATCATAAGCAGTGCGACTAAGAGAGAGAAGCGTTCCTTTATGTTAACATCGAAAAAAGTATTACCGAGTTGACACGGTTTTCGGGTGACGTACGGAAAACACTGATGTTACACCCTTGTATATATGCATTCGAAGCGATAAAAAAATATGTCGCTACAGTATTTCAATGCAAATAGATTGCACTGATTTTATTAACAAAACTACTTACAGCGGCCGTTTGCATAGCGGGTCTATAATAGCTGTACGGTTTTTGTACAGTAACTAAATGGTTTAAAGCGGAATCACTACCACCGGTACCGTGTCGATTAATTACCAGTCTATTGCCCGCCACAGGTGCAGGCAACTGTAATGATAATATTAAAGCTAGAAACTACATAATATACAAATTACATAATATTATAATACACATGTGTTGGTTATTTATTTTTACATATAATTATTATTTTCTAGTCAACGTTTAGCTGTTTGTAAAATATAAAACCACAACGATCGCGCTCGTGAATTTTTTTTACATATTTTGAGTTAACCTTCGAGTGTGTAACTTGTATGTGCGTGTGTAATATGTGCACGAAGCTACGTTCACTTAAAATGTATCTCGTGTAATCGATTCAAAACGAAACGTTGAATAATCAGGTTTAGGAAAAATTTCAGAAGCAGCTGTATAATGTGCCACAGCAGTTAACTTGCTAGCACACTTGTGCAGTTTTTATTTCATTGAAAATTCTATGTACTAGACAATAATAAATAAATGTATTTTCTATACTAAATAAGCTGACATCCGTCTTAGTGGTGTAACACTCGTAACGTGTGTATCATTGTAAAGTCTACAAAACAGTACTACGGCGTCAGTGCGTTGGACTCGACATAAAAGTCAATATTAATAATAATAATTATATTCCAACTATTTAAGTACTGACCATGATGGGTTCTGGTTTAAACATAGGTGAGCTCATGTCACTGTGACTGCTCGACGGCGACGAACCGATGGACTTGCTACCTGTCGATTCGACCGCACCGTCGTCGTCGTCGTCCGGTCCGGTAGAAAGTTGCAAGCTCACTGGAGGTTCATAGATCATATTTATGTCTTCTGTAACTGGTCCTATATCTCTTTCTTCTGTAAGTAAATCGTTTTTTTTTTGTTTTAAGCATTGCATAGGTATTTATGACGGTTATAAAAATCCCACCTTGTTCGATAAAAGGTGTTTGATAGACATTGTCGTCTCGATAACCCCGTGAAGGTTGCTCGTCGCCGCTACTACTCGAGTCGGTGTCGACGTACAAATCACCTGTTTGAACGTAAATCGATTATTTTTAACTTATTACCAGTGCTCATGCTAGCTAACCTAACCCCTAGCCGCGTCTGTCACTTACCAGATGTTTGCGCTGAAGCAGTTGTGTTGTCCATGACCTTTTGAATCGACCAACCCAATTGCCACACGTTGTACACGATCGAGTCCAGAGTACTGGAATACCATTTTGATTTGTCGCCGATCATAGCCGGATCGTCGACGCCGGTTTGGATCCGTTGGAAAACAACGTTGCTCGGAGTCAGAGCCCATTCGGCGAAGTAGTCAACCGCTTGCGTGCGGGCCAGCTGGCAAGTGAACTGTGATAGGGTCGGACGACTGTTGAGAAACGAATTGATCTGGAAGAACACCACGGGCCGAGGGTACAGCCTCAGGGTTCGGGAATGTTCGGTTAGGTTGGCTAGCACGTCGCCTGACAGGAAAAATTGAACCATAGCCACTCTGATGGCAACGTCCACCGAATCGATGTCGCCATTACTGTAAATGGAATTACGGTTTCTCGTGTTCTGAGACGTTGCCGACACCGAGCTCGATGAAGACTTTCTCCTAAAACACCGAAAATTATATTTGAAAATAAAAAGAGATTTCCAGCTAAAAGCAGAAATGTAGAAGCACGAATAATGGCTTTGGGATCAATTCAAGATTGGACTTGTCCTCTTGTGCTTGGCGTGCAAAATAAAAATATTTTTCAAACCTATCCCAGTTCGTGTTGACGTCCGAGACCGCTTCGTCGGGATTAATCGGTGGGTTGTTGTAGTTGTCTGCTGTGCTCTGTTGCTGTTTCGAAGTACACTCTTCGGTTACACCTCCGATTGATTGCGACGAAGCCATGACACCGTTGTCGAGAAAATAATTTGGTGGTTTCGTATTGATGTTGGACCGAAAAAGTCCGCTTAAAGCCTAAACGAATCGAAAAAGCATTTAATTCGTGTATCCGATATTATTATGCGATTAACGGGAGGGAAATGAGAAATTACATTTTTTAAGTTGTTTTTCAACACAATCGCTTCGGATTTCGGCAATTGAGGAATAGGCCCATCGTCCCGGTTGGGAATGGCCGGCGGCGTTATTTTGGTCGAATCTAAATCCACAATCCAAACGTCTTTAGGGAACCTTTAGCGAAAAATTAAATAATACAATTAACGTAATGTTTTAATATTGAAAAGACGTTTTATAATATCATCTTTACAATTCATTAGCGGGCAACACTAACCTGAAATCTCTTTTCGTTTGAAAAAAGCTGCACGGTACACCGACCACATAAGGCACTGGACTTTCAAAGAGCTGTAAATAATACATTTAAATGAAACAAACTTGTATTACACCCGACAAAACCAAACCCGAGCACTATTGGGTGTAGTTCTATTCAATTTGTATACATCAGTGACTATAGCTTTAAAAAAATCAAGCAAAAAATCATAATATACCATTTCTGATTTCGGTAAGCTAGTCGGTAGCAATGGTATGACGGTGAACATGTATTGCAGAGGATACATAAGCGTGATTAGAGCCATTACTGACATGGAGAGTGCGTTGTAGTCTTTCGATTGGAACACCACCTGAAATAAAAGTTTAACCACGATAATGGTTTTAATGGCGTGAATAAAAATGTATGTACACACTGGTATTCGTATAGAACATATGTGTCTAAGATACACACCTTGTTCTCTAACATTATAATGGTTAGGACGTAGAGACAGGTGTCTATTCCCAATAGCTCTAGAGGTAAATGTAGTGGAAAATCAATTAACGAAAACCGTGTATGGTCGGGCAATGAAAATATTAAAGGCGGCCGTCGTTCGTTTTGGGAAAACAAATAAATCTAAAAAAAAAATAGCGGTTGACATTTTAATATATCTGATACGTTACGAAAACCGTACACAAAACGCGGTTATGTCAATATTTACCTCTAATCTTGTTTTCCCAGGCACTGGAACCGGAACGCTTAGTAACCGCAAAATCCAAGTCTCTATCTCTTTGATGTATCGAAACACTCTGGGCGAGTAGTCTCGAGTCACTAACCCAGTTAGTATACTCCATATACAATTGTTCCTGTAAATATATTAGACACCGGTTATGCCACAGAGAAACCAATAATCAACGTCAAGACGAATTGTTATTACTTTTTACGCCCTTTTCTTCGGTGGTTGCCGAGTTTTTTATTGCAAGAATCGATAATGTTTTTTAAATAAAATAAACATTCTCTAAAACTCGAAAACAACGGATGATGAGATACAAGGCACAGTGAGGTCAAAGAGAATAGCTCTGCTTGCGTTTCCTATAACACATAAACGCCATGTTTATCATATTATGCCTATCAAATTAACGTACTAGCGGATTGACTATGCAAATACTAACCGCTGTCGTTCCTTGATCAGCAATTGAATCTTCACGCGAAAAAGATTGAGAAAAAGACGAGCTAGTCGAATGGCTGAAAACATAATGTGCTGATTATGAACAAGTTCAAAGTAACACTGTTCTTAGATAACAACTACTATCAATTAAGGAGAAGGGGGTAAGGACAAATATTTTTTTTAGACACAGTCAACTGTACATTAGGATAGTATGTGGATCTTACCAGGGATTGAAAACGATACCAAGTCAAAGTGTATACTGTTTATTTTAACTATCACAAAAGTTGATTAGAATGATTGGTAGTATTTCAAATTTAAGTAATGCATTTTGTAACAATAAAAACGTTTTGTTCTAGGAACGACTTTTTAAACTGTTTCAAAAGATAAAATAATTTCCATTGTCTTTTGAAGCTCGTTGAGCTATTTGACCGTCGCAACGTACAATGATGTTAAATCAACTTTTGTGGTAGTTTAAACAAAATATAGAGTAAATTTTGACATGGTAACATTTGCACGATCTTACCATTTTAAAAACAACGAAGAATAATCCTTTGGTCTTTTGTACGTATACTGGCCGTCGGATGCTTCTAGTGTTTCGGAAGTACTTCGGACATACGGATCGATTCGCCTGTAAAAATTGACACAGACGCCGTATCTTATCCTCGCTGAAACGATAACAAATTATGTACTCTATGGAATTTATTATGTTGTCGACTAATGTACCACGTCTTAGAAACTTACTTGTGTCCTTGTCGGTAAGGGTGAACACGAACGATGTTACTTTGTTGGATTCCGATCGACCACCGCTGAAAGAAAGACATCCTTCCGGTTGGCAAAAATATGCCATTGTCTCCGGTAAAGCGAAATCTTTATGTTCGTCCGCCGGATATCTTCGGAGTAACTCTGGATCCTGTGGAAGCCATTGCAAGTTACCGTAAGTTATTATTATTGCTGGCTATAGACCGTTAAGTATAGGAGATAACAGACTAAATGTACATATAGTTCAGGAGCATAGATAATAAATGAATGGATAGGACATGCCCATAGATAATCTCATGTGAGGCAAGGTTCCCGGAATGGCGGCCAACTAAGGCGAATTATCAATATTTATGTTATCAATTATTTACATTATCCATTTGCCGACTGCCGTTGCCCGTTACGGTTTTATAATTTACTGTCTACTTAAGTACTTAAGTAATCAAAGATAAAACAAATTTTCAATTTTTGAAAACATGCAATGTGTCAACAATGAATCAAATGTGTTGTTTGACCAAACAATTCAATTTGATACACATCGTGATGAACTTATTACTACCATTTGTAAAACTTACTACAAAGTACGATTTTTTCACGAGGTCAGGAAAGTGAATGATAACATCACAATGCGTTCAAAATTTACAAAACTTATACATTTTAGGCATGAATAAACTACAACTTTTTTTAAAAATTTTGTTAAAATTAATTTTAAATTTATAATATTATAAATAAAATGTTATCCAAATGGTTTATTCATTCATGTTCATTAATTTCAAATCACTTCGGTTAAATTAAAATTTTTAAAGAATGGAAAAAAATATTTGTGTCATGGAAAGGAAAAAAAAATCGCCTCAGTTTCTTATCATTTGAGAACCAACTATTTGGGTTTATGTCCTATCCATTCATTTATTATCTATGTTCAGGAGCTAGTGTTTAGGACAAAGATAATTCGTTTTTAAAGAACCAAAATGATAACAGTTAACTTCTGGATATGTTATTTTAGCTTCGATCTGCTGATTGAAAACATATTGATTGGCAGTAAAGGATTTGGTTTTTATGACTGTATACATGATTCCTATAAGGATTCTCGGGGTCTGATATGTTTATACGACCTTCGTTTCGATTACAGTACACAATTATATAATAAAGAAACTGTACACAATGTAATGGGCACATTACATTGGTATCATTTCTATTAAGAATTTAGCAAAGGCACTCCAAGTTTTCTCAAAATGTGATTGTAATCAAAGATTCAGTTAGAACGAAAAATTGTATCGTGTAATTGGTAGACAGATTTGTATTCAAGTTCTCGGATAGTATCGAGGACGGTTTGTAATATAATTTCATTGCAATTTTAGCTCAGACATTAGGTTCTAGAAATTATATTTAATCTATAAAATTAAATTAAATAAATTATACATTATAATGTAATAGAAGAGAGCTGGATTTAGCTCGGCAGTTAAAAGAGCAAAAAAGCATTGGTTAATTGAGAGAGAAATTTAGTTTTCCTAAAGTAATAAAATCTGGTTTAGTTTATTGAACGAAAGCAGACAAAGGCGTTTGATGAACCGAATGCTCAAAAGCTGAAAGTCGAAAATTAATTAAATGTAATGTAAATTCATTTTACGGTTATAAGAAGGTTTAGTGAAAAATCATCAAACAAGTTTCGACGGAGACGATGAACAAGAATTATATGAGATTTGCAAGCAATTAGGTTAATTAAAAGTAATACGGAGAAAACATCTTAAGTTAAGCGTGTTCGACGGAAGAGTCATCCGAGGTAAAGAAGACGATGGTGTACACAAGCCGTCTCATTAAGAAGATACTAATTTTGTGTTAAAATAATTGTAATTTAGTAGATGAGTGGAGGAACTTCGACAGAGTTCACTGATGATATTATTTAAATATTTGTTTTTCTATTTAACTATTGCCTTTTTAATCTTCTTAAGAGTTCGCCAGGAATAGTTATTGGTGAGAGTTTAGAGATGAGAGGATGTGGATGATGATTGCTTAGGATAGGATGATGACTTCTATTCTATGACAAAATATTTTTCGTTAGAAGCTTTTACTTTTTATTTTTTATAAGTATCTATTGACATAAATATGTCTTATGACTGTGGCCATGACTTTGATCGAGTCTACATCCAACCTAACCTAACCTAATCTGAATTTGTGACATTAAGACCAAAAATCTAAAAGTGGATAGGTTACGAGAAGGTAAGAGTGAGGAGATGAAGATGCGGTGCGGTTAAATGTGCTGTATTGAAATTATTCCTTCTTTTATAGGGTTTAGTAACAATAGACATATTCATGATGCAATGTTTTTCGTTCAAGGGATAAAGCTAATAATATGTTGTATTAAAACAATTGCAATAATTTTATTTAAAGAGAAAACGAGTGGGTTATCCTTAACGAAACGCATTTATACGTTACCCATGTCGAGACAATTCGACGTTGATTACATTCACGGGGGATTTAAGGATCCTTAAAGACGGTGATATTGTGATTGAGATAAGTACCTGTACGTAATAGCTGCCACTGGCGCTGAAAGCCGAGTCCAAATAATCTTGATCATTGTCGGTGGGGTTTGTTTGCAGCTCGTACAGGTTAGCTCGCTTCAGCGATTGCGGTTTGGCGCCAACGATTGTTATGTAGTCGATTAGCCGAGGACAAAAGTATCGGCTCTCGCTCATAGCACACACGGTATTTGTGACTTGTTCTTGTACTTATATAATATAATATAGCTATATTTATATATTTATATTATGTTTGTAAAACTAAATAATAACGGTCGTTTAGTAACTTTTTTACAAACAAAATCAAAAATATTTTTTTTAGGAGATAATATTATTATCACAGTGTTTTTGTGTGTATATATATCATTTTTTTTTTACATAAATTTATAATAAATATTGCTCATGTGTTGTTTAATAATTAATCAAAGGCGTCAACGACTTGCACGGCCGCGAGATCATCTTGCCCCAGTGTACCTGCCGCCGCTTGGTTGTATCATAATACCGTTGTCATTATGATGAAAAGCAAATTCAATAAAAAAAACGACCGGTTATGTGACGTTATTGAAGGGGTTCGCACCGTAATCCATCGTTACCGAGACGAAACGAAAAACCACTTTGTTTGTATCGTATCGGCTTATGTCGGTCATCATCGACAAGGATCCTCCGTTGACAGACTTACACACGGCTCGCACGTTTTTTTAGCTCTGCAAAATATTTAAAAAATGTCAACGAATAACGTTAGTTGTACGTGCACACAGCAATCATTTCTATACATTTGTTTTTACCAATTTCTAAACAAACAGCTGTTAACAACAGCAAGTGTGGGTTCACACGCAAAAACCATGTGGATTGACGAACACACAACTGTTGGAGGAACGCGCTTTGAATGTACATACATTTATATATATATATATATATATATATAATTAAGCACGAGGAGCTTAAACGATATCGTTGTCACGCAAGGTTATTGGCCTAGGACGGTGGGATTTGTCTAAAAATGAAATACGCTTTTTACAGTACTATAATTATCGTTAAAAGCGACAATTGACTCCTGTAAATCAGCAAAACCCCACTAGTAGACCCAGACTAGCAGTCTGATATCGACAATGGCTATTGATGGCCGAATAATGAGTACCAAAAAAAAAAAAAAGGAACCGAATGAATTTCTAAGCTAACACTGAAGAGCTAATAAACGGTTTGAAGAAAGAGGAAGGCATTTTTGAAACGATAGGACAGAAAATAACGAGGATTTGGTAAGGCAACGACAAAGCTTGGTCCTTGGAAGCGATGAAAAAGCAAGTTAAATGTTCTACACATGAAAAAAATATTTGCCAATTATCAATAAAACACGGACTAAAAAAAAAGTAGTAACGCGGAAAAACAATTTAAAACTAATTTAGTCGTCGGTTGTGTAAAACCAATAATTCTTATTTTATTAGTTATTTATTATTGATAAAGCCCAAGCTCCCAGTGTTAGAACTTGTTTGAATTTTTTTAGAATGTGAGACCCATCATTGTTATCTCGCCCGTTTACCTTTGTCTGTAGAATAATAATTAATGGAAGGATGAAAAGTTGGTGGCCATGACATGTTAACGTCTCAAGTTTTAACATTTCCCAAAAACGTACGTCGGCGTTAATAAATTATACATAGTTTGTCGTTGTCAGTCTTAATTACAACCCCTTGTCAATTTCAAAGCCGACAGTAGCATTTGCAATTTCAGACCATCTGCTCTCATACCCCCATACACTATCTATGTCTAAAAAACAATTATTAAAAGCTTTTGCATTAGGTATTTAATTGACGTTGAAAATAATGACACTTTATTAATTGCAATTACAATCAAAGATAATTATAATAGTGTCTTGAATACAATTTTGTTTCCCATCGTCAATTACAATCAGAAAATTTGTTATAAGGTATTTTTGGATAAAATATAAGTAATAAATACTAAAAGATATTCACGTATATTATGTTATCGAAACACAAATATTTTTGCTTAAAAAAATTATCAGGATTAAAGAAGCTTTTTAAATCATGTACACTCAGTTCTGCCAGCGAAGAGTTCCATAAGTAATCGTATAAGCCCTAAAATTTTGGGTGTTAAAATTTATTTAATATTACAGATAAAATTCATCATAACCATTCAATTGGAAATGTAAAAGTTCTTAATGAAAAACTCCTTCATAAAGTTATCAAGGTATTATGGGCTTTGAACTGAACCACTAATAACTGTAATTAATAACCTTATGTAACCTTGTCTTATAATCCATAACTATCACACCAAACCGACTTTGAAATCTGTATTTTAATCCAACACTTTTACGAACAGTTCTATCATGTTTTTTAATAAGGTTCAAAATTGCCTATAGTACTATTGATTTAATAATAAGCCTTCTGTATGGGCTTTACTCAAAGCTATACAGCTGCTTAGGATGGTTGAAATACAATCACATTAACAAATATTGTTAGTCTATAGAGAATTCTAGAAGAGGTTTTTGGAGTATTTGGCCGTTGTGAAGTACTTCAACGTTTAATAATTATTATGTTAATGTGCTGAACGGACGCAAAAGATAGGAAGTGCTCAGTTTCTTGATCTTCTACAAATAGGGATGCGTTAAGTTTGAAGTGATGACAATATAAGTACCGTTGATTTCGACAAATGTGTAGAACACGAAGCGAGAGGAGAGAGGAGTTAAGGCTTCTATACAAGCATCCGTTTGCATTATATATGTACATTCTCCACTAAAAGCATTGCAAACAAAAGGGATACTATACAAAGGGAGGCAATATAAAGGGATACAACACAAAGGTAAATATACCTACAGGATTTCTAGAATTACACTGAGAAATTTATTTTCGGAATTTCATTTAAGCGAAGTGTACAAAGTTAGAACCTTAGTGAAACGTTTTAACAAAAAGAAAAAGTGTTTTTTTTTTTTTTTGTACGCACGAAAACATCTTACATCAGCATGGAATAAATTGTAAAGAAATAAACCTAGCCGAACCTTAATTGACCTTTGCAAAGGTCTGGTAAAAACGAATTAGACCGCTTGAATGATGGACAATACAAACAGCCTTTGTATTGTGTAAAACGTTTCTACCCACTTAAAAGACAAATATAACACTGCTCGACGTTAAACTGCTTTACTTTAGGGACGCCATTAAAAATAGTTGACTTCTAATTAGGTTTGTAGTATTTTATAGTCTGTATAATTTGTGTATTTTGTTTTTGTCATTGATATTGCTATATTTATTTGATAACTGTCTGTCGCCAAGGAAATTACCGACTGTTATCATAATAAATATTGCAATATCAATGGCAAAAATATATACATATAGACTATAATATTGACCTAATTAAGAGTCGACTATATTTTAAAAGTATCCTTGAAAAATTAAAGTGTAGTTTAATACACTCAAGTGTGCAGATCACAGTAACCGACATTACGTGTTCAAAATGTACTTTTTTGTATACTATTTGCTAGTAAAACATGCAAAAGATTTCTATAATATTATCTTTAGAAACAAACGATTATTTCATGGAGTTATAACACAGTAGAGTAGCACAAAAAACGGTTATCCTGTAAAATTATAATAAATATACAGTGGTTAAATAATGTGTTTTAGGTTTGATCTCCTGCGATAGGTAAGACAACAACTTAGGGAAAACAAATAAAATCTAAATTATGTTGTAAATTCAATTTTTTTTTTGACAGTCAAAGTCGGGTGAACATAGTCGCGGGTCAATAAAGTGATAACTCCAAAATTAATTACTAGTTTATATTGTTCCGAGTATAGGACACAGAAGTGACTAAGAAAAATATCTAATTTCGAAGTTATCACTGGTCGATCTGTGACCGCAGCTGATATTATTATTGCACTCAATGCTGTGTTTATTATTATAATTTAAAATCGTCGACACAAACAAATATCATTAAAAACTGTCGTGTCGATTTAAACCCATCGAATGATACAAGTATACGGACAATTTAAGAGTGTTTATTTATAAAAAAAAACAATCATCCAGTGTGTCTTTTAATTTACAGCGTGATTTATCAAGGATAAGACACTCATTTTTATTTTAAAACAATTGCAATTTTGTAGTTTTTCTCTTTGAAGACTTCCATAGTTTATGTTATTTTACAACATCAGACAATACAACATTTTTTAATCTTTTTAGTTTTTTCTAAAGCTTTATCAACTTTTAAAACTTAAAAGGTCACGTATATGTTTATTTAACTTTTTAAATTAGTAATAATTTGCTGAAAATGTTGACTGGACGATTAGGTACCACGTTTGGATAATTGGCAAATTATTCTTAATTTAAAAAATTAATAAAATAAAATAAACGTTGCCATTTAAGTTTCAAAAGTTGATAGAGCATCAAAAAATAATTATTTGTAAAATAATATAAACAAAAATGTTTTAAGAAAGAAAAATATAAACTCGGAAACTTGGAACTAATTTGGATTTTTAAAAAAAAATGTATTCTCGATTTTGAAGGGTGAACGGGTAAACTATTTTATTATTTGGCACAGCATGAACAAATCGGTTCGGCGGCTTAGAAGTTATCGTGGGTCCAGAAACTAAAAAAAATAAAAATCCCATCACTTTAAAAACAACAATACCTTCGAAACCGAAACGCTGTGGCTTAATAAAAATAAAAAAATCTTAACCTTGGCTGTGCGTACAACACAATATTGTTAAGTCGACCGTGTCGAGTTTAGAAAAATGATCAAAATATGTAAATTCGACGGGTGTTTCCGATGGGCGAGGGGTGGACTTTTTCCTGGGACAAGAAGAAAACCTGCGTTCACCGCAGAGACAAGAATGAGTTGACATAATATTATACCTACTCGCTTAAACTATATCCTATATTATATTTACAATACTTTGCCGACGATTAAAAAAAAAATATATATATAAATAACAAACTTACATATTATACAATAATTATTATCATTGATAGTAATATTTTTGAAACAATACTGTTATCGTTGCAACAGAGCCACTCGACACGGGCTGCTGCACACACACACACACACACACGGTACACGTCGGCGGTTGCACGTCGTTTATGTTAATTTAAAATATAATTAATGACTTTACGATTTACAGCCGAATGGAGAATTTTTTTTTTTTGGTACAATTTTCACGGTTAACCAAACCAAAGCAAACGCCAACCGCGGGTAAACGCCCGCCGGGTTACACTACACAGTCGGCCGACTATTACTGAGCGTACCTACATGGGTAATATATTATAGGTACCCACATACCGTGTTTCGCTTTTATTGGACGGGCGCACAGACTCGGTTTGAATTGTTTTTACAATTTTTAAAACAATCGACACTATACACGCGGTCTTATGCACATAATGTGCTATATTATAATATAATATAATAATATTATTGTAAAACGGTTCACACCGCAGAGGGGAACCTTGAAAACGCCTACACCGCCACTTTGGCGCGACAAAAGCAGATAAAAAATGATAAAAAACCTAAAAAAGGGCAAACAATAAAAATTAAAAAAACTGGGGCAAGCGTAGAATGTAAAACACATAGCGGTTCTGTGATGCGTTACACGTTTGTTTGTGTGTGTGTGTGTGTTGCGATACAAATAATAATTAAAAAAATAGGTAGGTACCGTCGAGGTGGGATAGTAATATTGTTGTTGCATAGTGTAAAACGGAAAAGAAAAACATGTATTGTATATTGACATTAATAGTATAGTGTGTTATATCATTGCAGTCGGATACGGATAGCGAAACAGCTAGTGTCTACACCGGACCGGAGTGGAGTGCATATTTTTTAAGTTTAAGTATCGCGTTTTAGAATTTTCGTATACGAATTGTGTGTATTTAATTTAATTTTGTATTTTAGTGTCTTACCTCGTGTTGTTATCCGGCCTCGGTGGTTCGACGATGCATCGCCGGCGGTCGGTGTTGTTTTCTAAACGGGTGCGATCAAAGTCCAATATCGCGAACGGGCTCGGTTGTTTTTGAAAAAACAATTTTTTCACATAATATTATAGACTACTTTACTTTTCGACAGTACGTGTGGTGGTGGTGGTGTACCTTGTGTATGCACAAGACAGAACCCCGGCGACGATACGGGTGCTGTGTCGGAGGGCGAATGTGTCTATGTGTGTATGTAAGTTGTATTGTACACACAAAGGGGACACAAGACCGTACGGCGGCAGGTCGGTCGAGCACTGAAGTTGCGCACACTAGTTTGGGGAAAATCAATAAATTCGGCGGCGGCCGTTCCCCGAGTTTAACGTGTAAACGTATAGCATCTATATACATATATATATACATGTATATGTATATATATATATATATGTATACAAAGCACGTATACTTACGCCATATCCCCCGGTGTACATGCTATATTCGTTTATGTATTAAACACAAGGCGCACGAGCTTTTGTAGTAATCGCCCGTTAACGTTTTTGCCCGACTATAGTCTGGACGCTTTGTCTTCATCTTGGTTTTTTTTTTACAACCTTTCAAAATAATAACAATAATAATATTAGGTTCGCCAGTAAATCATTATTATACACACGTTTATTTAGCTATACACTTCTGGTTGGAATCACTAAAAACATATAGTTGGCCCGACTGAATTATGTTGCTTTTACCAAAAATTTAATTGGTCCAACCATTTTTTTTTTTAGTTATTCCAACTGGAATTATTAACCATAACTAAGTTTGACCAACTATGTATTTTTTTCTGTATAAGAATAAGACTCGCTTGCTGAGCGCTTGAAAGTTATTATTTTCGTTCTCTTTTAAAATTGTTTTATCGTGTTGATTAAAATACCAAATCTTGTTTATAATTTAAGCAAAAATTATGCGGGTAAAATGCAAAAACAAAAAAAAGTCATAAAGTATGCAATATAAAATGTCAATATTTTTAAGTGTAGTTCAAATATTCTGTCTATAAATTAATAATGATTTCGATGTGTTTGACTTGATGATAAAAGCTTATATATTTTATTTCAATAGCCGGTCTATAAACTACTATGTGTTCCCCAAACTACTGACAGTCCTAGATATATTATTATAGGTACCTAAAACTATTAACATTTAAATAAACGTTGAATGAAATTTGTAGTGAGAACTTTTGTTACAATAAAGTTGTTCAACTTTTTGGCAGATCAAGAAAAAATTAACTCAGTCAAACAAGCTTTTTCAATAAGACGTCATCAACTAGCAGAAGAGTTCAAACGCTAGTCCAACTAGGTCAAAAAAAAAAGCTGCCATTTATTTCAATGGCCTGTTTGCTCCCTGAACTAAAGTCAGATCCAAGACATATTTGTAATAATATTTTAGTATATTTATTTATGTTTAAATGTTGAATTCAAATTCGATATTATATAGTTACCCTAAAACTCTATTTTAATAAGTCATGAGCATTTTTTGATTTCAGAAGTAAAGTTTTGTGAATAGATCAAATATTTATTATATTATAGTTTACAGCGTCGAACTAGTATTCTAAATTTCATTTTTTTTTTACTCAGAAATTCTTTAACTAAAAAAGTAAAAGTTTTGCATTTATGTATAGGGCCAACTTACAAATCATTGTAAATGAATTACAAAACTGACTCTCGAATCATGATTAAGCTATAATCTGGGTACAAAACTTTTATAAAAATTACATCTAATCGGCACGGCTTAAAATTGAAATCTCTTCATACAAGTAGAAGTAATGGCATCAAAGGCGAAGGTATGTATTTATTTATATACATTGTTTTCGGTTCGTTAAACAGAAAATTGACTAACAAAGGTTAGTTCTCCGAGTTCAGGATCAAATATATATTTTGCCAGGATAACGTCGTTCACGTGACCAAAATATAGTTTGTAAAATATTTTCTTTCATTATATTATACAGGTACAGTCAGTTTCCAATGGCTTTATCTAATGACGATCAGCCCAAGTCAATGGGAAACTTTGAATCCAATAACTAATGACTTCTTAATCTAAAATTTCACCTCCACGAGTGCTACATAAAACTTTTAAACGGATAATGATCTTAAAGCCAAAACAACAACTAAATAACACCTACGTTCAAAGTAGTTTTTGTTGTATGAATCAAACTCTTTTCCCCAAAACTTTAATTATATTAATGTTCTGAATAGCAAGCTATGTGAAATGTTTAGTTTATCGATTTGTAACAAATAGGGATACATTCGGTTTAATTTAATAAGTCCATTTAGTTTGGATAAACTTGTGTATAGGACAAACAACTGAATGCAAAGCTGCAAGGGGAGTTCGAGTCCCTTAGCCTTTTATATCCTCATCCGTTTGCAAATACCTTCGTGGTTTCTAAGATTACACAGAGACACTTATTTTCGAGGTATTCATTTGGCGGTGTATCATCTTCTATTATTTTTATCAACTAAAAACAATTTAAGGAAGTTTAATATAAACAAAAAAAAAACAGTACAGTGGGGTCGGGGCATAGTGGAGACGGAGCATAGTTGGGTCGGGGCATATTGGGGACGGGGAGGTCACAGGTTTACAGGAATTTTTAAATCTGAAAGTGATAAAATCACTTTCGAAAAAACGCTTCGATGCAAATCGGTAGTTAGTATTTTCAAGCCAGTACAGTCCAAACCAAGCACAGTATAAACCAGCAAAGTTAGAAAGTTTTAAATGAAGGTTCTGTATTTACAAATGAGCATCAAAGCGTTTATTTGAAAGCGATTTTATTCAATTTTATCACTTTTATTTATAATAATTCTTGTAGACCTGTGACCTCTCCGTTTCCTCATTGCTTTGACTACATTATGCCAATACTCTACTGTACTAGTCCTCTCGGATAAAATCGCTTTCAAATAAACGCTTTGATGCTCATTTGTAAATACAGAACCTTCATTTAAAACTTTCTAACTTTGCTGGTTTATACTGTGCTTGGTTTGGACTGTACTGGCTTGAAAATACTAACTACCGATTTGCATCGAAGCGTTTTTTCGAAAGTGATTTTATCACTGTCAGATTTAAAAATTCCTGTAAACCTGTGACCTCCCCGTCCCCAATATGCCCCGACCCAACTATGCTCCGTCCCCACTATGCCCCGACCCCACTGTACTGTTTTTTTTTTTTTTTGCAAAAACTTAGTGGACCAAATAACACATATACAATGTCTTGTTATATTTTGTTGGAATGGTCGACGATTCATGTTTCAATCGTTTGTACTCCATAGTTTAAATTATAATCGCTTATTCTCAATAAAATTAATATTTATGTATTATATACTTCCATTAAAGCAATCACACACAAACTATTTATACTTCACAGATTATATTATTTCAAAGCTATATTATACTTCTATTTTACTAGATTGACAATGTACAAAATAAAATGCAACTAAAAAAACCTTTTCATAGATCCTTAAAATGTAAAGGGTGGGATAGTGAAACGGGTTTTACCATTTAAATACATTAGAAAATCGCCGTTTTACTGCCTCATCCTGTATAATAATTTCTTGTTATTTTCTAAAGAAAAATCGATTTTCTTACATTTAAATTAAAATAAATCGTATACTGGTACTGTGATGGAGAAAACAATAAATTTTACCTACATTTATTACTTATTAGTTAAATATTACTAACGTGTATAGCCACAAGCAAACGGTGTGCAGGTGGTTTTATACGAAGGTGGAAATTTAACACCGAAAATTATGTAAAGAAAATATTTTTTTATAATTAAATATTTTTTACAATATGTAAATAAAAATAATAATACTCGGAACGACAGCGGATTGACACTCCGGATCAATTTTAAATCAATAACTGATAATCGAATTATCGAATGCTGACTGGCAACTACCTACAAATGTCATCACCCCCCGACCTCTCTCTCACACTCCATGACCGGCTCGGGCCGATAAGGGGTTTTTCGTTCCCACCTGTACCGTGTACATAAGACGGTGGACAGTTGATAACGCGATCGGGCGTTTATATGGTCACGATCGAATATTATTTTGTCTCGAAAATTGATAATTACAACAACTATACACTATAGTTTAAACAACTCATGTTATCATTTCTCACGTAATGGCTGCCAATTAAAATTAAATTAGTTACTTAAATTAAATTCAGTCATTCCGCAAAAAGTTCAAGTCCAAATTGATTTTATATCAACTGTGACTTAATAAAATCCACACCCAGTTAGTTATATTCTGTTGACAAATTGTTTTTTATTAAATAATGAAAATTGATAAAATAAACATCAACTACGTCATAAAAGTTTTATACAGCGCAATACAAGTTACAACCAGAATAAAAACTAGCGTTTTTGTAGAGATTTAAAAATACTATTTCAAACGACATACAATTTTTTCTATCATAACTGATTTCATAATTCATTACGGAGCAGATAAGAGCGCGCATCAATATGCCGTTCGTACACACGATGATGCCAATAGAACAAAAAATTATAATTTTTTTTTTCGTTTCTCACATCTGGTAGAGTGCGTTTGTACTTAAAAAAAAAAAAAAAATTGAACTTTGTGTCAACTTAAAGTCAAAAGTGTTACTTGAGCACAAAACTCAATAGTATCATTCTGCATAGATCTACATAAAATTGTTTTAATGATTTGATAACAATTTTTTTAAGATTTTAAGTGTTTTTTGTTAAAATATACGCAATCTGCGAAAACACAGTTTTCCGGCTATTAAAAAAAAACTGTAGTGCCGAATTATTTTTCCGTTTAATATGGTATGGATACATATGAGTTCCAACTACTGGCAAATTTTCAACCCAAAGGTCTTAAAATTACGGCTAAAAACCCCGAAAAACAAAAAAACCTGTACCCCCCCTAGGGGGGTGGGCATTGGGTTAAATTCAAATTTGATATAACTGACGTGCGCGGGCATACTAAATAAATATTTCTTATACATTTCAACTCGATCCGACTATTTTTCTCGAAGCTATAGCCAGTAAAAGTTCTAACTTAAAAACTCGTACGGTTTTTTTTTTGTTTTTTCAACTTTCGCCTGTGAAGAGTTAAACTTTTTCAACTTTTACCCCCCCAAAGTACCAACTAGATGAAAATTGCGATATATAGAGTTGCTATTCGAAGGAATTGGTCCAGTATTAAAGAAGTTACAGTGTATACAGATAAAAAAAAAACATACATCAGAGTAAAACCAATACCTTCTCGCTTTGCATCGAAGCTAAAAGGATTT